GTTAGCGTGTTTTGTCCCAGTTCTCTAGCTTCCTCCCACAGTCCAAAGACATGCAGATTAATTGGGAACTCTAAACTGCCTGTAGGTGTGAATGTGAGTGTGAATGGTTGTCTGTCTCTATGCGTCAGCCCTGTGACAGTCTGGTAACCTGTCCAGGGTGTACCCCGGCTCCAGTGCACCCGTAACCCAGTACCAGGATAAGTGGTTGTGGATAATGAATAACTGAATGTGATCTTTTGTGAAATAGAGTGTAATGATATATTGGTAAATGAACATTATTGTTTCATTGTCTGATAATGGAGCCTACATACAATAATCCTTATAATATACCAGTATGTTATTATTATTATGGAGCATTATTGATTAACATTCAGGCTTGGATATGATACCTCTTTAACCAGCAGTTTATATATTGCAAGCAAGTTCAGTCAGTGGGTGTAAATATTTGGCAACAACCAATATTTACATGTGTGCAGCAAACCATTTTAATTAAGTGAATTTATGTGTGTAAATCTCCACTTAGTAAATATAATATAAATAGGCTGAGGTTGAGCTACAAACAGCTGGTGCAACTGGATCCTAAAACAGAGGAAATGATTATGACAGCATGAATACACTGGTTGTGGACTGGCTAGCACTGTCACTTCACACTAAAGCCTGATTTATGGTTGGGCATGCAACACTTCTGATCAGTGTCGCTCGACAAAAATTATGTATTTTTGACGGAGAAAATTGTGCGTGACACTTTCCTTTTCGTGTCATGCACCTGGAGAAATTTTCCTGTTGCTGACATCATCATATTTTGTTGCACAATGTGATTAGTAGTGTTATTATTGTCGCCATTGAGATAGTTTCTTAAAGCCACATCAGCTCTGACCTGCAACAAACATAGGCAATCTCTGGTTACCATGAAAATGACTAAAACCTTTCACTGATGCATTAATTGAAAAACTCTGCACTGTTCGTCGCACAACCATAAATCAGCCTCAAAAAGGTCCAAGTTAAAATCTTGAAACTGGCTCACTGCTGCCTTTCTGTGTTCATGTTCAACCGGGTTAAATAGTGGACAATATGAAATCAAAGCAGTATTTTGTTATTGATTAAGTCACTGCACATTTAATTAGAATGTTGGAATATGAATAGCGATGCAAAGGGTTGTAAAATATCCATAAGAATTTAACCTGCACAATTGCACAATTGCAGATATAAAAATCACATCTTTTAACAGTGCATTTATGTGGGGAAAATACACATAAAGTAATCTTAGGTCTTAAGCCATGTTTTTTTGGTTAAAAGTATGCCCATTTAAGTGAACTGTAACCACTGCATTAAGCAGAACACTCTGCCATCACATGTACAGCGTCCCATTAAATGGGAATCCAGTAAAATTACGGCCCTCTGCATACACTGTGCATTCTCCCATCACATGCACAGCCCACTGCCAACACTACTGCTCTGTATGAGCCAATGGACTACTTACTTTCATGTATGTTTTGATTACTGCAGTTGATATTTAAAACTTTTTATGATATTTCAGTTCTTGCTAGCTAATGTTAGCTATTACTATGCGTGATGTAGCTTGATCAGGTATCAGTTGAGGAGTTAAAATGAATCTATTTCCATCCATACTTTATTGTAGAAAAATCTCTTTACTTCAAACCCCAAGTTTTTTCTCAGCTCACATTGTCAGTTCACATACCTTTCCTTGATAGTTACCTTGTTAGCTAGCTAACTCATTACATGGCACATTTTACATTTTATGAATTTGACAAAATAATTGATTTATTTGGCAAATGAGTGGACTATGTCTGCTTATGATACGGTAAAAGTTTGTTCCTATATGCATATGATGATGCTAAATACAGCCTGAGCAAATTACTGCTATATGTCCATTTTATTCCTATTTTCCATATATTCCACAAAAATGTCTTTTAATTTACATGGAAAGTTTCTCCTTTAACATTCCTGGAGATTTTGAACCTTAAATATGAATGGCAACTTTTCACCTGCAGGGTAGCAAGTAATTCTCAACATACTACATTTGCATGATGGATTTCCTGAGACAGGGTGGTGTTATGACCTGATCGTTTTTGCAGGAGCTCCTGCCGTCTCCACCTCTCCTGCTGGTCGGTAGTTACACATTAACAGAGTCAGCTTATATTTTGCTCAGAGTCAAGTTTACCTTCATTCCTGAACTCTGACTGTTCCCAGGTAAATTCTAGATTATCTTCACCCTTGCTAAAACAAACCCGTGTGACCTCGTTTTGCTATAAGATACCATACCTTGAATAAATATCTCCACAGAGGTCACGTTCACGCAGGGCAGAAATTGAAGGTGGACAGTTTCCCTGACAATGTGACTCAGTGTTGACTCAGTGTTGGTTTACTGCTCTGATGTGTTAAATCAGAATTTTCTGTTCTTTTAATTACCATTCATGTAACTACTTGTATAACTCTTACCTGTGTCAATCTGATTGAAACATTAGAATTGTTTATGGGCAGAGTCATTTGATGTATTCTCTGATCTCTTATTAGATTTACTTGTCTCACTAATACTATGTGATCTTAAATTGTCTTTTTATCATTTTTTTGTGGACCCCAGGAAGTATTGTGACCACTTTGTGGAAACTAATAGGGTCCCAAATAAAGAAAAATGAATGGTGGAAACAACTTTCGCTGTGACCATATTAAAACACATAACAAACCAAGACAGTATATATTAAAAAAAAAGAAAAACACCTGGCCTGTGCTGCATATGGTATTGATTAGTGATAAAAATAGGTATCTATCTGTGATTAAAAAAAATAGATGCACCCTTGTTCCATGCTGTGAAACCCTCTCTTGCTGATGGTTTCTTAGGTGGATGGTGTCAGAGTCTCTTGCTTGAAAGGTTACACAACAATCCATTGTGGCTCACAAGAATCAATCAATCAATCAAAGCCCAATATCACAAATCACAATTTGCCTCAGAGGGCTTTACAGCATATGACATCCCTCTGTCCTTCGGACCCTCGCAGCGGATAAGGAAAAACTCCTTATGAATGTGTGTGCACTTAGAATAACAGTACAGCTAAATGACCAGTATGTCTCAGTAGTCTGTAACTGATATCATGCTGTTAGGGATAATTGCTGTACAGTGATTTAGGAGTAGCAGTTGTCCTATCATTACTGTTGTATACTGTAAATTAAATGTATTTTTTTAATGAATAGTCCAATATATCTTTGCTAATAATGTGTAGGATTTAATGTGTATTTTCAGACATATTTTACCTTTTGAAAAAATGAATAAATAAATTAATCCTTGAATAAACTGACCAAATAATAATTTGGCGGCCCCCCTGCAGCAACTCTGAGGACTCCCTAGGATTCACGGAACCCCTGTTGAAGACCCAGGTCCTAGAGCATTATGTGATGTCATCAAATATCTTGTTTTTTCCGAGTAACAAAACCCAGAATATTCAACTTGCCTTAGTGTAAGCACATTTGGGAACCTGGAGTCATGAAATGTTTGGCAGTGTTACTCAAAATAGTAGGGCTGACCTTCGACTTCATTTTTGAAAACCGAAGCTTCAGAGCTCAGATCGATTTATTTATTTATTTATTTATTTATTTTTTTTTTAAGGTAGTTTCTTGCAACCCTAGAATTAAGATAAAAATATTCACAAACGAAAAAACACTTCTGGTTGCTGATAAGTAGTGTTTAACTTTTGATTTAACACTAAAAATTAAAACCCTCGGCGCACACTGCAGTGCAAGCAGACAGATGCGCGACTCAGAGCAGCATGTGTCACTGACACCAGACTCAGAGCGCAGCGGACCGGTGGAAAATGTCACCATCAGCATATTATCTTACATCAATAAAATCTATTTTATCATTATTTTGAGTCACATTGTTGAAAGAATTTAGTTGTCTGTGTTCATCGAATCCCGCGCCATCGAATGAAGCTTCGAATTTTTTGGGTCAGCCCTATAAAATAGTTGTTGATTTATGTTCTTACAATCAGCTTGTGTAATTGTTGCAGCTTTAAATTGCCCTACTAACAAAATAACACAAAGAACATGAGGAACATGACAGTTATCCTAAGCTCATGGTATATTTGTAAATATGTCAAACTTATTCAGTCTGCACTGCCATGTTTTGTTAACCAAATGTTTTACTCTTTGTTTACTTTCTTTGTTGTTGGTATATTGTTGTGATAGCCAGCTACAGGCAAACGTTACATGACTTGTCATCGGTAAATCTTACTACAGGCTCGTTCTGCATCTCTGAAAACTGGCCTCAGGCTGCTCTGAGTGACCAGTGACATCTCTCATTGACTTTAATGGCTCTTCAAGTACTTTACTTTTTCCCTGTCCAGCTTAATGCTTGACTGACTGTGTTTGATGTTCAGTCACTTACACACAACAACATCAACACACTGATTTAACACACACAACAGCCACTGCAGTGTTAATCTGCTGGATTTACCCGTAAAGCCTGAGGCGGGCTCAGTCAGTGTTTTATTTTTGTGCTTTCACTGCAGCATCTCTTTTTAAACTCATACACAGGCTGGACAAAACAACAGAAATGATAAACAATGTAAAAACAGTTAAGTGAAGCTCATAATGTTTGGTTTTGTTGTGACCATTATGGGTGTTGATTGAACTTAATTATCTGATGTTTAACTGTTGTTAAGTAGTCTCTAGGCTCTAATTGAAGCTGATGTTGAGTGTGGGAGTTAAACTAGTCCATTAATCAATCAGCTTCAGGTAATGGAAAAATAATCACTTTAAACTAAAGAAAATTTCACAGATATTCAAAAGTCCTCAAAATAATGAGGAGTCAACACTTCGATGTGCTGAGATGAAGTTTTCAGTTAACGAGGAGGTGAAAAAACGAGTGTCACAAGACCTTCAACAGACTTTTTTTCTCCTTCTGTCGCCGTGGTTACTCCACGTGTCTTCCCTCCTTGCTGTTTCCATGGTGACGAACTGTTTTCTCCTCTCTCTGTCTCTTTCAGTGTCATCCAGGCTCCGTTACCACTACCTGTAGACAAGGTAAGAGCTGAAATGTGCGTGCTGTTGTCGTCCTGTCCCGTGTGCAAGTTGCTTGTCTGCGTCTCGGATTTACATGTTTGCATGCTCCTCAGCGACGGAGCTGAGTTTGTGTGTGTATTGGGTTGTTTTCACACACATAAGTAGTCTTTGCACACACACACACACACACACACATACACACACAGAGTGGAGTAGTCAGCTGATAGAGGAATGCAGGGGTTGCTGCCAGTTTCTGCCGCGGCACTACAGAACTCTGTCATGTGGTTCAGGAGGTTAAGTTTTTTCCCCACCGTTCACTGAGTGCTTTCTGTCTTATGTGTCTTTAAAACTATTTAATGTGCTGCTGGAACTTAATAGAATTTTTTGTCTGCCACATTATATATATTTTATATATTTATTATATATATCTGCTCTGTAAATCACTTATCCTGTGCTCTCTTTTGAGAAAAATCAGAAACACAAATGAAGAAATTAATAATTTTTAGTTTCATGATGGCGATCACTACTTTTGCATTTTATCAGTAGAATACTGTTTCATTATCCATCTACTAGGGGTCTTCCAAATTACTTTCCTGAAGTTGAAATGGAAGTTTAAACTAGTCTGAAAGTAAGATAACACTCAGAAAGCAGTCAAACTTGAGCATAATTAAATATACAGGGTTAAACATTGTCTGAAAAAAATATGGTTTATGTTATCAGAGTCATTTGACATTGTTAATCACATTTTAAATGTTGCTTAAATGTGTGGCGCTTTGCACCGTGCATTATGAACACACATAATGCTAGAAAACACAACAACTTACTCTATAACAGTTAACAAATTACATTTATTTACTGTGTATTTAACATCCTGGCTCATCTCCTTCCAAAACACTCAGACACACACCCACTCACATGGTAACTCTCATGTGCTCTCACCTCTCTCGTCCAGCCTAGACTGAATGAGAAAGGTGTTAAGGCTTCTTTCTGGGCAGTAGAGAGTGTGTTTAAAGGCTTGGATGCCCGCAGACAGCTGCGGACTTGTACTGAATGTGTGCAGGCGAGTCTGAGAGTGCACTTGTGTTATTGTGCATGTGTGTTAGAGAGAGAGACGTTGATGATCAGAGCTGCTGGTTCGTCTCACATGCTGATCCAAACTCCTCACGTTTTCCTCAGGATATTTTAATAAGTTTAACCAACTAGTATTTCATGTGTTGACTAGTGAAGGTAACAACATTTAATTGATGAGTCAACTATTCTGAGTGCATCCGGTGGAGTTTCCCTGGGAGGGGAGCAGGGAGATATCAACGCTGGTATTTGTCCAAAAAATCCAGAATCCGTCACTGTAGTTATTTTTATTTAAATTTGACATGTGCTGCTTAACAGTGAGTGCATTTACATGACATTAGAGAAAATTTATTGTGTTAGTCTGACTAAAACTGGGCTTTTAAAATACATGTGAACATGTTAGTCCTACTGAAATAGTACTGAATTGAATTTCTCAGTGTCGGATTAACACACCCAGATAATGCGATTTGGAGTTGAATTACTGCATGTATACAGTCAATCGCACCCAAACTGGCCTCGCGCTCTGCGCATGCTCCACAGTTTCTGCCCTGAGCTGTGACCTAAAAGTTGAAAGTATTAAATATGTAACAGAATAAGAAGCCAGTAACAACATGGAGAAGTCTACATCCAGAGCCGTGCATCGCATCTGTACAAAAGGTAAAGCGTACAGTAGTATGAAATGTACCCAGCTCTAAAGTTGTCCACAATGGTACCAATTTGCTGCAAGCTGACCGTTGCTAACTTGATAGGCGATTGTTTGGTTTGTGACGCAATAGGTCAACTGGAAAAAGGTCCAATATTAACAAGCTGAAAGGGGATGTATCGCCACCTATCTTAGCGGAGTCAGACATACTTTGGTCAATAAATCAATTACCCTCGCGTGCTTGTATACTGGGACAAGAACAGTAGTCCAATTAAATGGTGTAGTCGAGTTATAACCGTGACTGGACTTAACTGTGCATGTAAACGCAGTGAGTGAGTTGAGCGAGTCAGCATGCAGCTGCTGGCTTTGGTGTAGAAAGTAGACTTCATCATACCACACTGGACTAAACCAATGAATCGCTCTATCATGTCATCTCAACTCATGACTCATAACAATACATGGCACACAATACCATACTATACTATGGTGTGTCAAATTTACCCTGTAGTGCAAAACCCTATTATGATGATATAACACACATTGTATTGTACTGTGTCATTTTATATGTTGCACGAAACAGTGCCAGACTGATTCAACTGTCCAAACGGCACTTACACAAACTGTATGTACAATATTAGCTTTCTATTAGCTGCCTCGCCCTGTTCTGTGTTTCCCTCCAACGCTGAGAACAACAGGGCCTCAGTGTAACCTGTCTGAGGAATGTAGGCTGGAGCTGATGGTGTGTCTATGTGTGTGTGTGTGTGTGTGTGTGTGTGTGTGTGCTGTGTCAGGGAGAAACTGTGATTAGATTTGAACCACTTCTGTAACATAATTAAGTGCTTTAAAGCAGGATACTTGCACCTCTCAGGTCTCTAACGACACTCTCTCTCACACACACACACACACACACACACACACACACACACACACTGACTCATATGCTCAGAAACTCCCCCGCACCACACACCCAGACCTAGGTGGAAATCTACTGCACTGTATGCACAGACAGTATGTTTTTTGGTCCAGTGTACATGTAGCAGTGGCTTCACCCTAAATGGGTCATGGTGCACCTGCCTTTACCAGCATCAGGCTTTTTAAACATTTAAATAAGACGAGGAATAGTTTAACGATTTTGGAAATATGCGAAGATGTTCAGATGTTAATCTCATGTCTGTGAGTACAGTACAGAGCTGGAGTCAGGACTTGTGTATGAGCTCTTACCTGAGGGAGCAAGGCAAAGCTCTGGTGTCAGAAGAGGGAGAGGGCAAGAATCCTGTCGACTACATAGCATACAGACTGGAAACAAGAGGAAACTGTTAGCCTGGCCCTGTCCTCAGGTCAAAAACACATCTAGTGACACCTCTAAAGAGTTGACGTTGTACAAAAACTAGGATTAACAGTACAGTAATGTTAGTGACATTATTCTTCTTGGCCTTCATGCATTCATCTTACTACAGGTTCTGGTGTTTCTTGAGGTGGTTTCACAAGTTGTGTTGCTTTTCAGCGCGGACACGAATCTCATGCACCCTTTGCATTCGATTTGTTCTCTCCTTTGTCCAAACAACAGATGATGATAGTGGATGACAGATGATTTTTGTTTCACCCGTCTGTAGTCTCAACAGTCTGCAGGGAAAGTTTTTCACAGGCTACAGCTGCAGAGTGCACGCGGAGCGAACAGCTATTTAAAAGTGGAGTCAGGCTGTTAGTTTGGGAAGCACTTGATCTGATATGCAGCAGAGTTTTCTATGAGAGGAGCACGCATTTCAAACTTCAGTGTCACAGTTGATCATTTTCATTTAATCATGGGTAGCCAAAATTTGTGGTCAGTATTAATATTAGATTAATTGTGCAGCCCTGCTGTGTACTGACCCTCGAAAGAAAAAGTTTTCCAGTTGTTGTGGGCACATTTCAGTCAAAAATTAATTTAATGCACTGGATCTTCACACCCTCAGATGATGGGAGTGCATGAAGTGTTTCCTGTTGCAGTAGAGAGGAAATCACTGTAGTGGACAGTGAGGATGATTTATTTGGTACTCTGGGCAAGGATGGTCACCTGTCTGGAGGTGGTTCTGTCGAAAGTGAACCCAATAGGATGCAGTGTGTCCCCTGGGTTGACGACTTTGGCCTGGCGGATGAGGGGCTTGGGTTGGGATCAGTGGTGGTAACCTAAGTAAACACTCCTTCTACCACTGACCACCACCAAATTTTGTTCACAAATGTAGTACTAAGAAGTTTATTTGAATATTTAACAGTTACTCCTTCAAATATTTAGCAGTCCACAATCCACATGAATTTATGAGGGCAAAGCAACATCATTTATCTGTTTTAACTGAATAATCTGTGATCTAGCTCAGCTAAAAACAGAATCTGTCAGCATGTTAGAGTGTTGTTCACTACTAAGCCTGTTAGTAACTCGTATTCAAACTTGGGCTGTACAGTTGTCAGGGGAACAATGATAACTTATCCAGCATAAAATCGTATAGGCTTGTGGTTACACAGGTTTTCTGTGAGATGGAGCTGGTGAAAAGAGACAGGATGGTCTCCTCCCACACATTTATGTTAAAAAGCCATTAAAAAACCTGCATTTTTTTTGCATAATATGTCACTGTGAAGATGGACACAAGAGAGGGACAGGGGACTGCTGTGTGGTTATGTCCAACTGGCTCACTGTTTCACCAGTTCAGTCATTGGTACTACTGCATATGTGACCGTGTAGTTTTTGTGGCCTCTGGCTTAATTGCAGGAGGTTCAGGGCTCATTCCCAACGCTACTGAGACATGATCAGAATACTTAAACAGTGGGAGTGTAAGATTTATATGCATCCATGTGTTTCTTCCCTGGTTGTGTCTGTGCTCCTGTCTGTTGTGTGTGTGTGTGTGTGTGTGTGTGTGTGTGTGTGTGTGTGTGTGTGTTTGCAGCACATGCTTTTGACCTCTGTGGGTTTTCATCTGTTTGTCTGTCTTCAGTTCAAACACAAGGCTGACTGAACTCCAGACATCTGTCAATATGTTACCATGATGTATGTATGCGTGTGTGTGTTTTCCAGGTTGCAGCCAACACTCCCAGTATGTATTCTCAGGAACTGTTCCAGCTCTCCCAGTATCTACAGGTAACACACTGACACCTACTGGTCTTTTTGTAGAACTACACCAAAGGTAAAAAGGCAGTAAATCTCCCTCGCAGAAAAGTTGGTGCATGTTATTAACATGTTTTGAATGTCAGATGGTGAATCATGCAACCCTGCTGTGAACATTTTCAGTGTGGACAGGAGAAAGAGGAGAACGGGAACTTTGACCTAATTATATAGTGAAAGCATATGTTATACATTTTTCCTCCATCCAGAATTATTCTAGTAAAAATACAAGGACCATCAACAAGTCGTGTACATTGCAGAAGAGGAGATCACTCTCATCTTTGATTAGTGAAGCACAGAAAAGATCTAAAGCTGAGGAGAGGGTGGAAATCATTCCTAAAGGAAGTGCTTGGGAATCTTTCCTGAAGACTTATGTAATACCCACTTTTTGATTCAGGAGGATCAAAAACTTGATCCCCACATGGCCAAGATGATGTTACCCCTCATGAAAAAACACATAAGTTTAAAGAGGTCTGATACCTCTGTTGCTTCTGATTTCATATTGAGTCATTCAACACCAACCTCTACCTCCCTCCCTCCCTTCCTCTCCTTCCGTCTCCCCCTGTCTCCCTCTTTGCCAGGAGGCCTTACACAGAGAGCAGATGTTGGAGCAGAAGCTAGCCACTCTGCAGCGTCTGTTAGCCAACACTCAGGAGGCCTCAGAGAGCAGCTGGCAGGTAGGAAACACCATTATCATACTTTAAAGGTCCAAATGTCACGATACATCCTCTGAGTTGTAATTCCAGCTGTTTTGGTCAGTTTAACTGTTTAGGAACATAATTGGCAGTAATGGCACTTGTGTACACGTACAGGCTCACACACGCTTTGGTATAATTACATATATGACGGATTCCAGCTCTCTGAAAATTTAATCATTTCGGAGCTGTGTTTCCTGTCGTCACACAGACCACATGATCTATCTTAGATGCATCATACTGTATCTTTAACAGTTGCCAGTATAACAATACCATTGTCTACATTTACAGCATATTGTGATATTCAGGGTATCTATGGTAGGTCTATTTGTTTGTAATCTTCTGGGGATAATCTTCCATGTAATGTAACATAACGCAAATTTATTTTCTGTAAGTTAGCCATTGATATAACATATCTCTAACATGCTTTAACATCTAAACTATGATGTGCAATAGTCACAGCACAACGCGTCCATTACAATCAGCTGAAGCAGCTACACTCATCAGAAAGAATTCATTTAATTAATTCAGTACAAGTTAATATAGCCTACTCTTCTAAATCCTCCATAACCAACTGCATTATCACTTGGCAAAACTCTTTACACACTCATTCAGGCTGGCGGCAACCACATGCTACAAAGACAGAGTCTGTGTAGCAGGTGAAACATCCTGCTTTGCCTCACCTAAGTGAAGCGTCGCATCTGTACCCTGTGTAATTCGGTTGTTAGGTGTCTTGCCCAAGGACACTTTGACATGTGGACAGAAGGAGGTGGGGAGCGAACTGCCAAACGTGTGATCAGCAGACATCCTGCTTTCCCTCCTTAGCCACGGCCACCCCGTATGATATGACCAAATATGTTTAACACTGTCATAAACTGATTGTGTGTCCTCACCAGGCTCTGATCGATGAAGACCGTCTTCTCTCCAGACTGGAGGTGATGGGCAGTCAGCTACAGGCTTACTCTAAGGTGATTATCACGGTGGTGTGACAGAATATCTTATGATAGAAATAACAAATCCTCATGCAATAAATAGCTCAAGATTAAAATCCTCTCCTCTCCTCTCCTCTCTGACAGTCCCAGACGGAGGAAGGGATCCGTAAGGAGCTCTTGGCTCTTCAGGAGGACAAACACAACTATGAGACGACAGCTAAGGAGTCTCTGAGGAGAGTCCTCCAGGAGAAGATCGAGGTGGTCAGGAAGCTGTCAGAGGTGGAGGTAGGCCACACACCAACACATTTACACACTGTCTCTGCATACTATGATCATCATTTGTAGTTTTTAGGCATGGGTCTCATTTTTTTGTTTCTGCTGTCCTGCAGCGGTCACTCAGTAACACGGAGGATGAGTGCACCCATCTGAAGGAGATGTCTGAGAGGGGCCAGGAGGAGCTGAGGGAGCTTGCCAACAAGTACAACGCTGCCGTCAATGAGATCAAAGAGCTCACTGACAAAATTAAGGTACCTGCACTGACACTGGGATACACAGGAGGTGTGTGATGTTCCTCTGAATGACATGAGATCTAATTTCCCTGCAATAATATTTGATTAAATAACGTGTAAAAATATTTAATTTTGCAGACTGTTTGCTTTTTTTATCATTGTTTGTCATCCCTCTCTCATCTTTCTGTTGTGCTCCTGTCTTCTTTCCCCTCTCTTAATTCTGTCGTCTCCTGTTTTCTCCTCTCCACCCTCCTCTGTTGCTCATCTTTTTCTACAACCTTGCTCCTCATTCCTCTTTCTCCCCCCTGTCCTCTGACTTATTCTGTTTCCTGGTTTGTCTTCCCTATCCCCTTCACTGTGTCTCACTCTCCTCCACCTCCTCTCCACCTCCCTACAGGCGGCAGAGGGCCGGCAGGAGGAGCTGACTCAGCGGGGAGCGACAGAAAAGAGGGAGTTGGAGCTGCGGATCGAGGAGATGGAGGAGAAGGAGCAGGTTCTCCAGGCTCGCATCGAAGCTCTGCAGGCCGACAACGACTTCACCAACGAGAGGCTCGCAGCCCTGCAGGGTACACACACACACACACTCTCTCTCTCTCACACACACACACACACACACACACACACACACACACACACACACACACACACACACACTCTCACACTGTCCTGCCCTAACTTTTAACAAGCTCACATATCGCACCCTGCAAGCCAATCACTTTAACTTTAACTTTAACACAAGAGTTACCATAGCAACCAGTGGCCGGGTCAGACCAATCATGGGGGCTCAGCTGGGACTTCCTGTCAGTCAACGCTTCTCTCTGCTGTTGTTCTTGTTGTTGTTGTTGTTTACAGTGCGGTTAGAACAGCTACAAGAGAAAAGCATTAAAGAAAACAACAGCCTGGGTGAGTGCACATGTCTCTGGTCTGCTCTGGGACACTCGTCCTAACCGCCGCCATTTGTCTCTCTGTTGCCGCTAATTTCACTTCATCATCCTGCACTAATGATGATGCATGACAAGTTCCTGCATGATGTCCACATTGCTTCCTGTTGCTCGCTGCTGTCTTTGCCCTTTTTGTTCATCCGTCTCTCTGACTGTCACAGTGGAAGTCTGGCTCTTCTTCTTCTGTTTTGGTCTTGGTGGCTTGATGTCTGGCCGTCAGGTAGCCTCTGGTAGTTTCAGATGACATAAGATGTTGATTAATGCTCAGCCGAGATATTTCTCTGATGTCCAGTCCACATAAGCCCTCAGTACATATCTGTCAATACCTTAAATATTTCAGCAAGAATCTCTTTTCACTTTTCCTGATTTACATTCAGAATCTTTAACACAGTCACAGTGACAGCAGGTCTGTTTCTGTTCATAAGCCAAATCATCAGTCGAAATAAAATTATTCAGATGTTGAATTAGATTTAAAAGCTCTATTCACACACATACAAGAATCTGTTTTGGGGCAGGTATTTGTACAATAAAAGAAAAATCTATACATACAAAGAAGAAGACATACAAAAATAAAGTTATATTCTAATATACAAATAAACAAATATGCACCTGACCCAACCAATACTGGCTTTTTCAGGCTGATACCCATATTGATATTTGAGAGTTCAACAATATTATATAATGTAATGTTTAATATTCAAAACAAACATGCAGCAAATATTTTTGATAATGGTCCCCTCAAATGTTTTTATTAATTAAGACCAAGATATATAGATGAGATATAATGACTATTATTGGCTATACCAATAAATACACCAATCAGCCACAACATTAAAACCACTGATGGATAAAGTTCATAACATTGATCAATTATTTACAATGCAATGCTCTGTGGGGAAACCGTGGGTCATTCATGTGGATATCACCTGACACGCTCCACCCATCCAAACACCGCTGCAGACCAAGTACCTTCCCTCATGGCAACGGCACTCTCCAATGGCAGTGGCCCCCCAGCAGGATAATGCACCATGCCAAACTGCCAAACTGTTGAGGAATGGTCTGATGTGACAAAAAGCTCAAGGTGTCGACCTGGCCCAATCTGATCACGTATTTGTGGGATGTCCTGGTACCCCACTTCACAACCCACAAGGACTCACAGGATTCACCGCCAATACCCAGGTTCCAGACACCACAGGTCACCCCCAAGAAATTCTGTGTCCATGCCACTACAGGTCAGAGCCAAGTCCAATCCAAGGATGCCCCACCGTGGATCTGAGACACCTCTGGTGTACTGTTACTGTACGTTCAAACCAGAAGCTTCCAAAGAGGCAAAGTCTCTCACGGACGCCCAAGAAGCACGACTGTCAAAAATATTTGTGGCAGCTTTGGTCGCTCTAGTTGCTCATCACGTGAATCATTCGAACGTTCGATAGTGTTTGTCAAAGCGGACTAGTGGCTTTAATGTCGTTTTGCGAAATCTGTGTTGATAAAATGCTTTGCTTTGCAGTATGTCAGCCCATTCAAACCAAGCAAGGAAGACTTGCATGCTATGTCACAACATTAGCCTGCAGTTCTCTTCTTTATTACTAACATAACTCATTCTTTTTATTTTGGTCTCTGTAACCCAACAGCGACACATAATAAAGGACTGAGTGGGCGTGAACGCAAGTAATCAACTTCTCGATATCCATTGTCGGAACAAGTGTGCTGTAGAAACCAAAGTTACATGGCTTGTTCTCTGGGACCTGCTTCATAGAAGCACATCAGCATTCCGACTGGTTGTCACTGAACCGCGTCAGAGCTCATCACCATGAAGTAAAACGAGTCTTAACTCCCTTCCGGACCCGCTCTGGTCACCCAAGTTGCCCAACACGCATGGCCGACGACCAGGTCACCCAAGTCGCCCAAGTCGCTGGGCTTTCATTGAAAATGAATGACTTGCGCCGTTTTGGAAGCTCGGTTCGCTGTTGGTTTGAACATACGGTTACGCCCCCGGAATGCTCCATTGGATCGGGATCTGGAGAATTTGGAGGCCAGGTCAATATCTTGGGCTCTGTTGTCACATTTGAGTGGGTGGTGCGTGTTAACTGGCATCCACCTGTATGCCAGGACCTAAGGATTCCCAGTAGAACATTGCAGTATAACAAGGCGAGCAATTTTCACTTCACCTGCTAGTTTTTTTTTAAAGATTGTGTTTTGGGCTTTTGCCTTTATTATAGGACAGCTTGAGATTAACAGGAAAGGGGGCAGAGAGATGCAGCAAAGAGCTACAGGATGAAATCCCACCTGGGCCGCTGCAAAGGACTCAGCCTACAGGGGGCACACACTCTAGCAGTTGAGCTTAAGGTCGCCCCACCCGTCAGTGGTTTTAATGTCTTTGCTGATCAGTGTAGGTCAGGCTATAGAAGTTAATTCACAGGTAAAGTAAAGTTTTGTTGAAAGCCTTATTTTAATGTTGTGCAAAGATACCAGAAATGTGGAGGGGTTATTGCAGTGCAGTGCAGTGCAGCGGAGCGATCTGTAGATCCATTAAAATGTGTGCTTTGGTGTGTAGTGTTCAAATGTGCACAGGCTGCAGAGGTACAGAGAATAGGAAGAGATGGAGCCAGTCCAGTGGAAGATTTATAAACTTTATTTAATGTGCCAAAGTACAGTTATTCAGTAAAGGTGTTGTTGGTGTCATTGAGATGCAGTATCTTAATGTTTCTTCACTGTTTTCAATGAGCACTAGCAGCTGTAATTAAAGTATAGTCTTGTTCATACTGTGTAATGACTCACAGCATACAGAGATCTTGTTCAGGGACATTTTGACAGGACACATGGATTAATTAAGAGAATTGGACTCCTTGTTCCAAAATGGCATCCCATTCATTCCAGTAGCGTTGCTCATCAGATGCATATGCTGCAGAAGTTTGTTAGGTTTGCACGTTTTTATGCCTCACACAGTGCGTCATGATTGAGCTCATTCTCTGGCTGAAAATACTCCACTGATAAAGGTTCTTAAGTTTATTGTTATTTAATCTAATGGCCCAAATTAGTAAATAATAAAACAGAGAAATTTCCCAATTCAGTATTTGAAACAATCATTGTTTTTTAACCTTTCTTTCATAATGATCATGTCTGAGAAAAGTCTTTTAAAGTGTCACGTAGTAGTACCTGTAGTATCAACTGTGGCAACACTATGCCTAAGCTGTTAGGACGAACATCAGCCTGTACGAGGATTCAAACATGTGATCTGTGAATGACAGGATGGCTGTGGCTGTTTCAGAGGAGGCAGGTTGTCTCGGGGACGCGGTGGCACTCTGTCGAGCCCAAACAGGGCTTGTTGAGGTTTCTGGATAATCTGGGTTGTTTCCATGGTTTCCAAACTGTCCACTGCTTTGTTTTTCTTCTGGGGGAAAAAGAGCTTGTGGTCACTGATTGACTTCTTGGTCATTGAATGACAACACTGAATATGAATGCTGGAGGTGACTGTCTCACTGCTCACTTCGCCACAGTAGCCACATTGTGAAGGAACCTGCCGTCATTATGAACATGTGTGTGGCTGGAAAAGTTTCGACAAAATCGTGTATATATATCTGATCTGGTCACATGACAGATGTCGACATTGTCTCCCACGGACCAGTAGAGGAGCCTGTCGAGGACAAAAAGAGCCTGCAGACACCCGAGAGCCAGGATGAAGACGAGGATGAGGAGGATACAGACACAGATGATGGTGCATTTGGTGAAGATGAAGATAATGATGGTAGTCAGTTTGCTTATCATAATAGAAAATTTAATTTATATACAACAATGTTCTTTAGCAGGTTTTGCTTTATAGAATTAAAGTAAATAGTCAACATAATTTGGCACGATAAAGAACTCTAATCTAGATATGTTTAAAACATTGGAGAATAAAATGCTATTGAATTAACAGCTATAATAACAAAATCAAACCTATAAGATAAGATTTTATAAAAGACAGAATATTGGATTTGTTTACCTGATTGTGTGAGGTGATTTTGACACAATTATCAGGGTTTCGAAGCAGTATGGAAAAGTATGGAATTTGGTTTTAATAATGTCCAGGTCTGGAAATAAAGCAGAATAGACAATAGAGACTGTTAACCCCTATTCTTTTTTCTAAAATTAGAAATTTAGAACTTCAAATAATGAATTGATCATACAAGCAGGGTGTTTTTCATGGTGTGAGGAGCAGGCAGCCAATGCAGCCAAGATGTTTACCTTTGTGTGAGAGTGCGAGCTTGATGCCGCAGAAAGCAAAGCTAGAAGTATGGCGTACGACTGAACACACGTTTCTACACAGAGCTGCTCTTCATCACAGCCTCCAACACAGCTTTGCCCCCATTTTTTTTTTTTTTTTTTTTTTAACCAAACCATATCTGGACATCCATGATCAAACTATTTTTTAAAGAAAATGCTGTTATGCAGTGATGTAGTTATCAGAAAAGTAAACTGTTTTTTGCGCACTGAAACCACATCTTTATGACTTTGTAATCTTCATTTCCATGGACACAGTAAATAAACAAGACTGCACGATGTGAAATCGGAATTATTTAACTTTTTTTCAACTAATGTTAAGGGAAAATAATACAAGTACAGGTAGCACCAGTTAGTTTACTTCGACTTTGGGCAGAGATGTTTGAAAGTGGAACATCGTCCAATTTTGTGCATAGAATTGTGGACTGAACAGCCAAAATTGGGGGAATACAAGTTTTCTGAGGGCTGGGTATTAGTCCTCAAATGTCAAATATGGGCTGAAAAATCTACGGAGGAGCCTGGAAAAGTACGGAATTTTGAAATGGAGAATGTGTAGGAACCTTGTATCATTATTTTTTATTTAACTGGAATCTTTCTTTGCTGAAATGTTGATCTTTTTCCCAGTTTTTGTATTTTCAAAGTAAAGTTTATCAGAAAGGGAAATACTTTTATTTATCTAACCTCATTTTAAATTCCTACTTTAAATACACTGTTGTTTTGAGTAGTTGTGGTTGAATGTGTATCAGGTGACCAATGCAATATGACAGTGCGGGATCATGCTTTAGATATAACTTACTTGGAGTCATGTTACTTTTCAGTACAGTGCTTGTTTTGCAAAAAATGTTAATTGTCACAAGCGATTTTACTCCAGATTTTGACTTCTCAGCATGTTGTGTGATCGATAAAGTGGCTGAGCTTTTGGTTGATTTAAGAATTCAGCTCATTTTCTGCATAGATGATGGCACTTCAATAAATCTGTGGTATTACTGAGTCCATTTTTTGGGGAGACACTTGTGGATCTCACACTTTGTTTAAGTCTGATGACTGATGACTGGATGTTTTCTTGAAGTTGTAGTTAAGTTTAAACTATTGGGCTGTTGAATTCCACATTTTATTGGTACTATGTTTTTGAGAGACAGAAGATTACGCCTTAGCTGTCTGTCTGCCTGTCCACATCCTGTCTGCTGTTACAGTGTTGTGGTATCTGTCCAGAAACACTGTATTTTACCTCTGTCTGAAAATATCTGCCATGTATGGCTTTGACTTCTGCCCTGCCCGTTTGTTTATCGAGCATCTGTCTGTCCGCGTAGTTATCGATCTCTGTCACTTGTTAGTTCTGTCATGCTTTCTACCTGCTTGTATCTGTCATGATCTCTGTCTTCGGCTCTTTCTGTCTCGTCCTCTCTACTACAGAGTTTGGTGTCAAGAGGAACCAAGTGTTAATTAAGAGAGATGTTTTTTGATTCTGCTCATCGATTCCAGAATTAGAAAATTCACATTCTGCTCTTCACTATACATTTCTGTTAATACATACATCAACATGTTTGAGTTGCAATTTCATGCATGGAAGAAGTCCGTCTGACATGATGAAGCTTTTCCTGTAGTTTTGATTTCATAAGGCCTCCAAAATCAGCTGATGATTGAACTGGAGGGGAAACAACTAACTAAACTTAAACATGGTAAAATAGAGCGTTCTATGACTTGACTATGTCTTTTACTGAAAATAATTCAAATAATGAGAATTGTTAGCTTCAATCAGCTTTAAATGTGTGTTTTGTTTGCCTCCAACATACATAGTTTCCATTCTTTAATAATAATAAGACTAAATCAGATGTGGAATTGATGAGCAGAATCAATCAAATCTGCAATTAATGATCCAACTCCACTCTTGATAGCCATCTTAGTAATGTCAGTGCTCTGTGTTTCTATCAGACAACTGTCATGTTAACAACAGCGGAGGAGACTCGACTAGAATCCAACAGTTGATTGAGTGTCCGCGTGAGTACACACCTCCATTCCTGCTGTATGCTGCTACACACACACACACAGAAACGCATACAAATAGAGAAACACACACATGGAAGCACGGACACCCTGCCAGGAAAAGACTGGAGGAAAATTAATAAATAAAAGTCATGTTAAATCAAAATTATGAGATGGTAAGTCAGACTTTTTTTTAACTTTCTCAGTTAAAATTATAAGATAAATCAAAATGAGACTTTCTATTTCAAAACGAGATATAAAGACAGAACTTTGAGAACATAAAATTAAAGATTTTTACTTCTTTTATAAGTAAAATTTTGTATTTTCTTATCATTTTGTCTTTCAAAGTCATAATTTTTTTTAACATGCCTAACATATCTTATTTTCCTGGTGGAAATGTGCCTCCATACTAATGTGACGCCTCATCTCAGAGGAACCTTCTTTATTGGAGCACGTTCAGGATCAGTTGCTGTGAAACTGCAAATTAGTCCTGATGCCGTCTTGGTTGCACTGTCAGCGTACGTCCAATAAAAGTGCCTGTTTTTGCAGCTGACAGGTTCATATTGTTATTTTAGGTTTCTGACAGCATAATGGAAAGGATCACAACAGAGATAAACCTTTTTGTTAAAGAGTAAGATCCTTTTTCTTTCTATCCAAATCACCGCTGCCAAACTCACCAGAGTCCATTTAAATAAACAGTAATTGTGTCATCGTAAAACACACTTCATTCAAAGTCAACAGAAACAGAACAAGTTCACAAAAACCTTCTTGGTTCATCTTTCCACTGTTCCAACAATCACTAACTCTGGTTTGGTTGAAGTAAACCCTCAATTCACCCAGTTAAGTATAAAAATATGCTGCCTCTATACATGCTAAAATTACTGTTTATCCAAATGGAGTCTGGTTTGTTTGCCGATGAGGATTTGGGGCTGTTTCTGGTTAAAGAAAAAGGATATTACTCTTTAAAAAATGGTCTCTCTCTGTAGGTATCTTTCCTATAATATTGTCAGACACTTAGAATGACAATCTGAGCCTGTCAGTGGCAAAAACAAGCCCTTTAGGTGGACGTGAATGGACAGTGTCAAATTTTAAACATTGTTGTTCCTTTTAGTCACTTAGACACAAAAACATAAGAAAATAGGGTTGAAAAATACAGAAGAGGTCCCTTTAAGAGATAAAAGGCCCTCTGTTCGTTAAACAACAGCCCAATAAACAGAAGAAAGAGACATCTGTGATGTGTCTGGATACCAAGAAGCTTCTAAACAATGTCATCTTGACCTCTTGGCTGATCTAGTTCCTCGTTTGGCAGGAAAAAAGATCCTTGACCAACCTGATATTTTGAAAAAGATTTTTCCAGCCGTTGTTCTTTTGCTTTAAAGTAAAGTTGGTAACTTTTTCCTAGTACACTTTGTTTCTGCAAAATGTACAAACAAATCTGGAGAGAGAGAATCAATACATGAGAAAAAGACAACTTTGCCAAATTACACAATTGTTACATCACTGTCCTCCAGCAGAATCTGTTCATGCAGAAATTTTTGCTTTACTTGTGCAGGTTTCAAAATTTCTGCTTTCACCTGAACACAATTAATGTGAATTAAATTTTCTCAAAGCATAGGAAAATTACATTTGATAGTATCAGGAGAAGCATCTCTCTTCAGAAATAATGTCCCTATTATCCAGAATTATCCACAGACTGTCAAGAGTTTGCAATGGAAACGGAAGATTTTAGATGTTGGTTTGTCACGAGTAACTAGGACACAGTTTATGGAAAGACTTAACTAGATTTTCTTTTCCGTTTTGTGTGTATTGGTCACTGCTGGCAGAACTGTCTTGCCTGAGCTCATTTAACTTCTGGTAGTGAGTTAGGGGTTTTACTGGTGCTTTGGTACGTGGTATATTGTGGTTCTAACAGTACCTCCATCTGAATGGCTGGTCACGCAGTCGTCTTTTCTTCCTCTTTAGAAGTTCTTCACGTGTATCTGCATGCTGCCTCTGTAGCTTTTCACTGAATTAGCTCACCAACCTCCTGTTTTTTTTTGTTTTTTTTTTTTTTGTTTCTGTTGTCTCGCCCTTCTCTTTTAGTTCTTCCCTTTCCTCCGGTCACCTTGTAGAGATTTTGTTTAGCAGCTTTTTTAATCAACAATCGTAATGCTAACAATGTGTTCATACCTGAAGAATTTCAAGTATCAAGTCTGTGGGGTCTTAACGGCCTTCATTCTTGATACCAGCCAAACATTAGCCAATATTTAAGTTAAGAAGTTACCACTTCTCTTTTTTTGTCTGATGGCTGCAGTGATATTTGTCACAAACTGGCAGTTACATATAAGACTTGCTCGTTCCATATGCTGCTGCTGTGGCTGGTTGCAGAAGTCATCCATCTCTCTCCGCTGTGACATTTTAAAGTGGATGTTATTATAGATCAATATTCTGGCTTAGATGTTTGTTGTTGGGCTTTAATGACACTGTTGTTACTGTGGTGACTAGGGCTATATGAATATTCAACATCTCACCTCCTCCATGTCACTGCATCGTGCCTGCAGCTCAGTACCAAAGAGTTGTGTAAATCTGAAGAGTGACGGCAGCAAAATCTGGGAACCAAAATATCCCAAGCATAGACTAGCAAAACACTGATGACCGCTGACTTTCAGGGGGCAGCCCCAGTGGTGACAAAGTCAAACTGTACTGTTTCATGACACTAAAAGCAGTGAAACAAAGAAGAATTCTCGTCTTTGGGAAGAGGAAACATAACTTACTGTGTATGCAGAGTGTGTTGCTTCAGAAGTATTTGGAGGATTTCATAGAGATTTATTGAATTTAGTAGATGCTGGTGGATTTTGATATTTTCTGTGGAAACAGCTGATGACAGCAGGGCCAAGTACATGTGGTTTTTGCAGATCAAAAGATGTGTAGGCATCTGATTTAACTGGACTAAATTTTGTTGTGAAGAAACCTAGCTTACATAGGGCTTTCTTTTTCAATAACATTTTTAGGACTTTAATTTAACATGTAGTAGGCTTTACAGGCTAACTGTGACTTACTTTTCTGTACAGATGCACCAGTGTTGTTTCACACATACACATGTGAGATGCCACTGAAGTAATAATGGCTTGTTTACTTCCATTTATAACATGGATAAGTCTATATTTTACATGTTTTAGACATTTAACAGACGCCCTTGTCCAGAGCAGCAACACAACTGTCATGTTGTAGGTTACAACGTAACTGTACCAGAGACAACACATTTATTCTGTGTACAGTTGTAACTACAGTAAAAGTACTTATTCTATTAACACCTGCAACCTTTACTTTACTGACTTTACTTTTAGTATTTGTATGATGAAGCTATATCAGTTAACTTGTCACTGATTATTTTAATGTGCAGTGTCTAAAACAATGAGCACATCTTATTTGAGCAAATTCAGTAGTTAAAGTGAAACTTTAGTTCAGTGTGATTCTACCTTTAACATCTGATCTACTAACCGGTCACTAAACCAACTGATTATTTACCTTCAGTCAGTGTAAAAGGCTGTACGGTTGCTGGTTGTTGTATTAACGGAAAGTTAAATCGGCCTTTTGGACATTTGCAGAGTTTGGGAAATATATGAATTGATTCAAATTCAAATTCTTTTTTTTTCCCTCACTAAATTAAAATGACTTGATTCACTGATTCTCCTGGATTTCTTTTTTTCTCCCTGCAGCGGTCAAACAGCTGAAGGAGACTGTAAGTTCTTCAATCCACAAACTGGCCAACTTTGATGGTAAGACCTCAACTAAGCTTCAGATATAGAGTACATATGAATGATTTATTGATCAATTAGTCCTGCAGCAGTTCAGTTTGTGTGTAAACTAATATTAGAAATTAGAGGGAGAACAAACTCTGAATCAGATGAGACTGCTGTAGAATTATTTTTTACATAAACTGTGAAAGGCTGGCTGACTCTGTGAAGCTTTAATATTTAAATCTAACTATATTCTGTTGTCACTAACAAGTATAAATGTGTGTTTGTAGAAGTGATGGACGCCCACCTACAGAACAACCAGACGGCAGAAGACGACATCCTGGCCAGCCCAGATCGACTCAAAGGTAGAGTTATAAAACCATCAGACTTACTACAGTTATATTTTGGTAGCTGTTTATGTTCAATTCTTGTGATGGTATTATAAAATGTAGTAATGTAAATGTAGTAATGTACTAATCAGGAATATCCTCACTTGTCTGGGTTTTATTAAAAGCCATGTTTTTTATTCATTTAAAATGTTTTAGTCTTGAGTGAACTAGTGACGGTTACATTGACTGACTCACAAAGGGTAAAACCTGCTGACAAGTAGACATCCTACAATTGTGACCTCTGACCTTTGACCTGTGTCTTTGCTGTTGTGAGCCTGTTCGTCATCCACACACAATGCTCGGGCTCACCAGCAGCAATGTGTGGAGGCTTTGACACATGACACATTTTTTTTCGGGACAATAACACAAACTTTTATATTGCTACACTTTTCATGACCTTAAGGCACAGTTCAATCCCCAAGCCTTAACTTTAACCGCCACAAATACATGTCAAATTCTTCAAACAGTTAAACAATGGTATGAAAACTGCTCTTAACTGCTGCTTCTGTTGTTTCTGTTTCACCTCCTGAACCCTGCATGGCCTCACACAGTATAAGCCAGTCAGTGTGCTACACACAAGTGTACATGCATATTTGTGGAGATATATTTGTTAATTTTTCTTTGCCTTTCTTTTCTTTCTCTTTTTTGAGTTTCTCAATTTTGTTAGCTGCTTTTATATCGCTTTTACAGCTTTCCCACACCCATTCTGTCCCCTCCTCGCTAACCTTTGTTGTTTATGTGTGTGTGTGTGTCCTCAGGGAATCAGATGGATGCCAAAGAGTCCGACATGTCAGACACTCTGAGTCCCAGCAAAGACCGCAGCAGTGACGACACGTCAGGTCAGTAAAATGCGCACAGTTACTCACATTATAACCAGAATTTGTTTTTTCATGTCGATTATTTAAGTCTCATTTATATGATTCTTTCACTCTCTCAGGTTTTATCTTATATTTTGTTTTTCATCAGTTTGACTTTAAAGGTTTTCTGCTGTTAAAGTCTGGCCTCTGCATCTGTTACACAGACCATCTAGTTTGTAGTAAATTCTTCATGTAAAGAGTTTTAAGTAACCTACTGAGAACTAAAAAACATTTTGATTTATTTTATTTCTAGTGAATATTAACTGAATTTTAAAAAATACACAAATCATCTTTTTGGACCAGGCAACACAGGGTAAAATTAAGATGCTTTGTGTATTAATTTGTATGTGTTTTCACCTGTTGGCAATTTAAGGCACTTTTTAAGTGCTTTCTAAGTCCTTTTTGAATTTATTCCTAGTTAGAAACACATCATAAAGAAATATGTGTGTGTGTGTGTGTGTGTGTGTGTGTGTGTGTGTGTGTGTGTGTTTCAGACGGCAACATGGACGACCAGGAGCTCAATGAACCACAGAACAGAGTAGCTCTGCTCAAAGGTAACCATGGCAGCTCATTTCTGCTTTGTAGTTCTACTCTGTGCAGCACAAACAGACCATCAGCAGTAACCAGGGTTATAAGATTCAGTAATACAGTCAACTGTCCATTAGGGGGTGCTGTTCAGTTGTGTGTGTGGCTGCAGATCCTTCAAGAGACTTTACTCCTTAAAGTCTTTTTTCCACTTTGTCTCTGTCATGTGTGTTTGTAGCTGAGTTGCATCGGGCTGGTCTAGAGCCTGGAGACACGGAGCAGGTCATCCACCACCTCCACAGAGAGCTCCTAGACGCCCAGGAATTAGCCAATACTGGCAAACAGAGGTGTCTGGAGCTACAAGGTAACTAACAGTGTAAAATAATTTCACTAAAATTAACACCCAGATATTATTTGAGCCGTGACTACTTCCTAGCTCCGATTAAGATCTACAGATTCTTACATGTTCTGCTGTTTCACTTGATACTCTCAAAATCAAATGTGGACTGTGTTAGATTTCATAACAGAGCAGGAAGAGAGTTGATTGAGTTTACCTCTAATATTTGACATCAGAGTTTTTGACATTTAGTTCATATATTACTATCATTGTACGTCACATGACAACATACCAGATTAAGATTGTGACCACATGTCTGTGTTTGTCTGTAGCTCTGCTGGAGGACGAGAGGAGGAGTAACTCTCAGCAAACTGAAGAGTCGACCAAACAGATCCAGTACCTGCAGAGTAAGTACACACCTACACACACACACACACACACACACACACACACACACACACACACAGAGTACAGTGCGATACTACACACCTGTATGTGTCAAAACCTTCCTCGCTCCCACTTCACTTTGTGTGTGTGTGTGTGTGTGTGTGTGTGTGTGTGTGTGTTTTAGCTCAGCTTGGGAAGCTGCAGGCCGACATGGAGGCACTGAGGGAGCAGAGGGAGAGCACCATCTGCACCACCAGAGAGGAACTCTGCTCCGCCCAGGAAGAGGTACCACTCCATCTCATTACCACTCCTACCTATTACCCTCACAACTCCTCTACATCTTCATTACTCCCTGTGATGCCTCTTTGACTCCCTCTGACTCCCTCTACTTCCTACTTATTGTTTTCTTACTCCTTCTGACACTGCTTTGACTCCTCATCAGCCCCCTTTACTTCTTTCTGTCTCCTACTGACTCCACTCTGACTCTGAATGACTGCCACCTGATTCCTCCCAACTCCTTTTTGCTCTCCTCTGACTCCTTTGTAGTCTGACTCTACCCGACATCCTTCGGACACCTCCTGACTTCTCCCAACACCCCTCTGACTCCTTGTGGCTCACTCCCAACTTGCTTTAACTCGCGTCTCTCTCCTCCAAACTCCCCTCGGATTCCTTCCAGCTCGTTCTTACTCCTCCTGTCTCCCACTGACTCCCCTCTGACTCTTTTTGACTTCCAGGTGATTCCTCCTAGCTCCTTCTGACTCCTCGTGACCTCTTCCGACTTCCCTCTAATTCTTTCTTGCACCCAAAGAAATCAGACCTCTTCTTTTATGGAACAGACTTGAAGTCCATCAGGTTACGTTAAATCCCAGTCATGTGTGACATCACTGACTGACTCATGGATTGTGTTTCTTCTGTCAGATTCTCGTCCTGCGGCACGCCATGGAGGCAGCCACGGCGGAGCGGGAGCGCGAGATTGCTGCCCTGCAGGCTGACCTCAGCAGCGTGCGATCAGAGCTGGACCACTGGAGGGAAACGGCCGCCAAGTATGAGGGGGAGATCAGCCGGCTGCAGGAGGCCTTCACACAGCAGCAACAGCAGCAGAGCACTGCCAACCAGCTGCAGGGTGAGCAGAGAGTCCAACGATAGTCTATTCATCAAGATTAAACACAGAGGTGTTAATTAAAACTATACTTCCTCTTTTTCTCTCTCAGCGGAGTGTGCTACGTTGCAGCAGCGGTGTGTGTGTTTGCAGCAGGACTGTGACGGCCTGAGAGGTGAACGGAAAGCTCTTACAGAGAAACTGCACCGCCTGGAGACTGAGCTTAGCAGGTACACACACGCTACAAGGGAAGTGAAATTAACAGTCACCTAAAATATCACGTTCATGTCAGGAAGTTTGGAGCATTCAGCATGTGGAAGCCCAAAACATCAAAAGAACATGGCAGCTCACACAGTCAGCTATAGATAAATGCAGTATTTCTTTAATGATATACACACTTTTCTGCTTAATTTTAGGCAAGACATGCATTTAAAATAATTTCAAAGCTTGTAAGCAACCACACAAATTCTCACAACCATGAATGAAATACAAAGACTCATAAGCTGAACTTCAGCCGACAGAATGAAAAGATTTGTAAGCATAAAAGAAAAGGAAAAAGAACTGACTGAATTTATTATATCATACTTTAAACTTAAACTCTATAGAAAAGTGCCTAAACTCTTAACTGAATGTAAAGCTGAGGATCGACCTGGAAGACATCAGGAATGTGTGTCCAACAATGTGAAGGTGGACATTAAAACTGGACCTAAAAGTCTTTGTGACAGCCGTGATGGACTTGATGAATCCTGGCGTAGGACAGCTGACAGGAAGTCCACTGGTCCTGACAGGTTCAGAGTTTGGATTCAGCATTAAAAGAAGGACTGGAGGAAACATGGTGTCCAGCTGACTCAGCCTGAACAGGACGAAAGTACGACAGCTGACGGACGGCTGACTGAACCAGACCGAGCAGTCGGCAGGTTAATGCTTCGTCTGCTCTCCATGGAGAGAAAACATCACTGCATGTTCTCGTCAGAGCCGAGAGCTCAGCAGGATTTTATCCGAGCTTCAGCTGTGTTTAGTTTCCAATAAACTGTGGGTGCCTCTGGCAGCACTTCTCATGAATATCTGAAATGCACCACTTGGGTAAAACTGCAAATGTCAGCGGCAGCACGCTGTCCCATCCCTGTTGAAATGCACAGCCTCGAACTACTTCCTAAACATCTTTAAATGATTGATCTGTGATGAAGCCTTGGTGGGTAAAATATCAAAGGTTGTTTATCATACAGCAAAGACCACATATTTAATGAGTGAGGCAACTGTTTTGGACCAAGATGTAATAACTGAATAGATCACAAGGTGTGTCAAGGTCAGTCTGAGTCAGCTGAAAAAATGAAAGTGATCGATGACTGATTGTTTGATCATCGTACATTTGCTGTCAGGGAATAAATGCAGTATGAAATGTTGGGAGAAATAAACTTCGTCAGTCACAGTCAGGTGAGGCTGTTTGACCAAAAAACACTTTGTCTGTGTGTGTGTGTGTGTGTGTGTGTGTGTGTTTGTGTGCAGCACCAGGGAGCAGAGTCAGGTCCTCAGCAGCAGTCTGGAGTCTCTGGAGAAGAGGGAGGAGGTTCTGCAGGACAAATTGGGTTCTCTGGAGAATCAACACCTGCAGGACGCAAGCAAGCTGAAGAGCCAGCTGGACCAGGCCAAGGCCCACACACACACACTGCAGAGAGAGGTACACACACATACACACACACACACACACACTGCAGAGAGAGGTACAAATCCCGTGAAGCTAACTCACTCCTTTCCAGATTTATAGAAATATAATATATGTGATACATAAATGATGTTATAGTGGTCTGTGTGCATGTGTAATTGCTGTGTGTGTGTGTGTGTGTGTGCGTGCGTAGTATGAAGACACACAGTCCCAGCTGTTGGACCTCCGTCAGCGCTATGAGAGAACAGAGAAGGAGAAGCTGAATATCCACCAGGAGCTGGAGCAGTGCAGAAACAGCCTGAAGCTGCTGCAGGACAAGACCAGTTCTGTGAGTACACACACACACACACACACACACACCACCACACCACACCACACCACACCACACCACACCACACCACACCACACACACACACACACACACACACACACACACACACACACATTCACACTTCCTTTGTAATTATACCAAAGACCATATGTACTATTTGTGTTGTAACCTTTATTCTTGTGTTGCTCAGCTTTAAATCCAGATGTTTTCATGATGTCTTTTTTTCACAGTTTTGTTTTTATTGCTTAAAGATTAAAGCAGGAGAAGCACCAGACTTGCTCATGGACACTGTGACAGTCTTGGACTTGTTAGCTGTAACAACCACACAACACTTCCCGTTCACTGCCTCCCTCCTCACTGCTTACTTGCTAACTCTGAACACAATAAAGTCTCATCGATCAGTGTTTAAATCTCTGAATTAATCTTGAATCCAACAACACCCTCTGTAGTGGTGAAAGCAGATGGAGTAAATAACGTAATCTGTAAACTGTAGAGATAAATAATAACAAATCATTACACATCATCGTCTCTCCTGCCTTCCATCCTGAGCTGATCAATAACAGCTGCTATTTTGTGAAAAACCCCAGGAAACACAAATCAGAAAATCAGGAGATGAAAGCGAGGCGGAGCAGCCTCCTCCTCCTCCTCCTCCTCCTCCTCCTCCTCCTCCTCCTCCTCCTCCTCCTCCTCCGTTACCCCTCTTCCTCCTCTTCTCTCTCATCTACCTGTCCTCAGCTCTTCCTCGTCCTCGGTCTTTGGTGACGTGACAGTCGATGTTTGTCTTGTCCCTCAGGTTTTGTTTCCACAGAGCTTTTCAGAATAAAAGTCCTGATCCGGTTTCACAGGATCAACAAACTTTGTTTTAACTGACAATTCAAAATGATAATTCCTGTTTATTACAACTTTGCTCTTATTTTCATAGTGTTTGTCCATCATTTCTTCAGCTCGCTCCAGCATGCACTAATAGAGTAAATAGCTGAGATCTTGGAACATAGTGACATGACTAATGACACTAAGGAGTGATGACAGTCCAAGAAACAAGCAGTCAGACAATCAGTAAGGTTAGAAACAAACTTATTTTCATCCATCACAATTTACACTTCCTGCTTCAACTTCGGCTTACCTCACTTACTATAGTTGTGCGCACACAGTTTTCCTGTGCACTGAGCAGCTCCTCCAGGATGCAAACTCAGCCAATCCCCATGAATTCTGCGTAGCCTCACAATTTAGTCCAGTCACCACAACTTTTCCGCAAGTTTCAGTATTTAAATCTTTATCATAACACTACTCCTGCAGGAGTGTGAGCTTCACACCCGGGAGGATGGAGTCACACATACACAGTGACAGGGCAAAGTGTTAGCATCACAAGGCTAACATTAACCAACAGTTATAAACAGGTTTAGCAATAGAGTCATACCAGTGTTGGCGTGAAATTAACAGATTATGTTTGTTTTATTTAGAAAGGGACAGTGCACATTAATGAACATGATCACCTAAGTCATATAAATGTGCCATATTTAGCCTTACAGGCTGAGTTTCATCTGCAGTCCCTCGCAAGTTGTAAGTGTATGTAAGAAAAAGTCAAAATAACATACAAAAGCACAGATAAAAGCAGAATGATGGCATGGTGTGGGATGTTAATCACCACTGCAGGGCTTCAGCCCAAGTGACAATCGCGTTGATCGCATTGTACTGTGTTAGCTTGTGTTGACTGTGCAGAGAAAGCAGGTGGAGATCGTCTGTAATCAGCTCTCGCTGCCTCCCTAACCTCACAAATAGTTTCTAATATGTAAAACACTGAACGCTTGTAATGATACGCTCTGAATCCAAAATGGCATCGCAACTATTTTTGCAAAAAAGTCTAAAAACGTTGCAACATACATCGCAGTTTTTTAGAAAAGCTGCCCTGAATTCAGCCATTTCAGGCCACAACGATCCCAAAACAGCCAGAGAAATCCTGAAGGGACTGAATGAGGGATTATTACTAAGATTAATCAGGTGTGTACAGTTTTAAGTGGTTTTTTCGCAGACATTGTGCAGCTCCCTCTGGAGCAACAAAAGGCTTTATGCAACTTACATCACATATGATGGAGTGCTCCTCAAGACCTGTAAATGGACTGTGATGTGTAAAGTTGGTAGAGCACCCCTTCCCCTTCCAGTTTAGTTTTTCATGAAAAACAAAAGATGGAAATGTTTTTTATGTGTGTCATTCACCACCAGTGTGTTCTGTACCTTGTCAGACTTTGTTGAAATGATATTTTGGTTTTTGATGAGCACAATATTTTCAGTACTGATTAAAATGATGGACATTACTATGAAAATAATATCTCACGTTGAAATAACAGCATTATCCTTTAAGTCCATTATTTATCTTCACCAGGCACAACCTGTATTGGCACCTTAGTTTACAAGAAACAGTTTTTTAGCATTCATTTTACAAAGTTGTCTTTTCTTAAATAGAAGATCAGATTTTAAACATTTCACTCTGGCCTTAAAGACCAGTGGACTGATATTACTGTGAGCCAGCAGCTGATATAAAGATCAGCTTCTGAGTGCTAACGAGACGTCCTGGTGCAGAGAGTTAATGAGCTGAAACCCAACAAGAAAATGTTTGTGCTTTTAAAAGAGCTTGGTGACGGATTGCACTTCTTCTGTGATGTTTGGTGAACATGGCTGTTTAATGTGTGGAAACGGCCGACCCGATACAAACCTGCCGTCATACATACTCCCTCTCTCTCCTCTTCTCTCTCTCTGTCTGTCTCCCTCCCCCTCGCTGTAGCTGCTCCATCCTCCATGTTGGTTTTGGTTGATTTGCCGGCTGATATCTTCTTATCCCTCTCCTCCCCCTCCTCCCTCCCTCCCCTCTAGCCATCCATACTGCAGCCTGTCCAAGCCATATTCATTGGCCTTGTCCTGGCTCTGCTGTACTGGTGTTTCGGCCAGTTGTGGTAGAAAGGTACACACCGACATGACATCAGTCTGTCTCTCTGCCTGTCTCTCTTTTGCCTCCATTTGTCCGTCATCTCTGGAAGGAAAGATGACGGAGGTGAAAACGTCGTCCTGATCCGTGATGAATTCAGAGTCACATGCTGTGAAACATAAGAAAAGTACCCAAACACTGGATCAGTTAAGTTTTATTAGTTATGTTTTGACCCCACACAATCATCTTTTGGTTGAAATAATTATTCCTGCCAAATCACAACCATGTTCATGACCTTTTACGTGCTCCCATGAAAAGTAGTTGTCAGTTGTTATTTCTATGACCACCAAATCAAATTAAATTAAATAAAATTCTATCTGATCAGAGACAAGTAAGAAGAACAGAAATCTGACCAGACATGAAATGCCAACTTTTAGTATTTGATAATATTTGATGGAAGCATTCGGTCAGTACCAGTAAAGTACTGTAGTTCAATACCCAACCACCAAATTCTTATAATATTTATCAGGAAGGAACCGTTGGAGTTTGGATTATGAACATGTACGTTTAGTATATTGTGTCACACGTCTGTGGACCCAAAAGAACTGTAGCTGTTGGATGAAAGCTGATGAGGATCCAAGTTGTAAATGAAAAATAAAAATTAACCATCTTAGTTTCATCCCCTTATGACAGCCTTAGCAAATAAGGATCATTTGAGTTCAGTTTTTTGCACTGCTGTTACAGGCTGTTAGTATTGAACCCTGAATTCTGATCAGCAGGACACTCTCCTCACCTCCTACACTTTCCTTGAAGACTGAGTATCATCATCATCTTCATCATGGACTGTCTTTGTCTTCTTGCATAAGCAGCTCTAACTGCATGGCTGTCAATGACACGTCTTCAGCTTCTGCACTGCTGACTCTAACACTGAACTCTTTAAAAGGAGTTCACAACAACCACAAAACCTCTGTTTAAAGGGATACTTCGATCTTCTTCTGGAAACATGTTTAGTTCTTAATCTTCGAGAAAACATTGGTCCTTAGGTTCCTTCATTATAATCTCTGGCTTTGATAGTAACTTCATGTAATGATCCATGCAAACTGCTCACCAGGTAGCTCAAATTATAAGGTTAATTTTTTTTCTGTATTTTTCTTATTGTCATCAGTGTGTTAGTGCGTCTCCCAATGCTTTGACCTCCCTACAGCTGGCCCCTGTAGTTCTTATCAAATGTTACTCAAACAAAAGGAAGTAGTGCATTGGTTGGGGACTATTTTCAGTGGCGAATTAATCCACATTTGGTGCTTTAGTGAGTATTTGTGGCAGCAGGACGATGTATGAGGGACTGAGTCAAAATAAATGACGGTTTTGGGTGCTCATGTGAGTATATTTTTTTCAAAGTATTGATTTTGTCATGAGCACTGTCGCGCAGAACGTGAATATTAGGCTGTTTTTTCCAAAATAAGGTACATTTTTCTGAGCTTTACCACTGAATGAAGGCATCAACCAATCACATTGTGCAGAATAGACATCACGTCACAACGTCGTGACAGTGGCAGACCGGTTGCAACCATGGATCTGTTTTCTAAATCATACATTCATGGCTGCAACTGTTGCAAAGTCACATTGCTGCTGGTATGAATACTTTTGACACAGGCGAGTATTTTGCATTTTCGTTCAACAGTGTGGCTCATGGTTGGGTTATTAATAGTTTCTGGAATAAGTTTGTTGACAATAAGAAGAATATATCACATCATCATATTTACCTTTTACCAAACTTTAGGCCCTGAATTTAAGCTGTTGAGTGGTTAGTATGAAGTGAGACATGGTTCAGTGAAGATGTTAGGTTAGACTTATGTTTTGTCTTGTTTGAATGATTTTTATTGGCATTGTCACCTGACCAAGAAAAAGCTGGAGGCTCCGTGTTTCAATTCAGTGTGAGCTCCAAGTTGTTGCACGTCAGTTAAGCTGCACAGCATGAGCACAATACTTGCAGGTTCTGGCCGTGCAAAAGGACCAATTAAAACATGCAGTGTGAGTAAACACAACATGCAAGATCAATAAAATCACTCAGGCAAAAATCAGAGGTAAAAATTTGCGAAAAACAGTACGACTTATTTCAAATAAGGCTCTTTATTTAGGGTATTAATTTATGCTTTACAGACAGACAGTTCTAAATTTGATAAAGTCATGTGGAAAGAGCAGAAAATTTTGTTATTTTTTAGTTAGTTCTACAGCTGCTGTTGGTCGGTCGGCCCACAAAGATGTCCTCAACCTCTGGAAGCAACAGCTTTTGCCCTCGGGGGCTGGAATTTGGTATGATAAAATTACAAGCTCTCTCAGAAGTTGCAGAATTGTTTGAATTTGTATTAATTAAAAACCAAATCCTGTGATGGTCTGAGCAGTTTAAACATCATCTCAGTATAAGAATCAGAGCATGGCTGTTTATTTTTAATCCAGTAAAAAAGCCTGGTAGAATAAGGCTTACTGAGTCTTCATTCTGGACTCAGTTTCTGTCTGAAACTAGAAATGAAGATGAAGGTTTCCCTTTAAAGAGTCGGGTGCTCATCCTCACATCCGAACATCTCTTCATAAAAGTCACTTACTAACACTTGCCTCCACCTACCTCCCTCAGTCATTCATTAACTGTCTCTTCACAGCTCCCGCTCACTTTCAGGGTGCTGGTGCTTCTTTTTTTACTCTTTATTTCATGCATCATTTCTCTTGCAACAGGGTTTGTGTTTTGTTAATTTTCCTTCCATTTCTTGCATCCAGTCTGCTGCAGTTATTTTACCATTTTACTCTGTGTTTACGTGCTTTAAGGTTTGTGCTGTTTACACTGATTCATCCATCTTTTTTGTTCAAGTCTTTCTTTGGACTGCAGTTTCTCCATTGTTATAAAATGTCCATCACTGTGTCCATCATGTTTGTCCTGTGTTGTTGTGCTGGTTGTTTGCTGCTTGTTTGTTGATGTGGTGTTCACTGACCAGTGTTTCCGGTCGTTTGCTGTGAAGGAAAACTGGTCTGTAACTTTTCTGTTTTTCTACTCAGGTTACCTCCTCGGCCTTGTTTACTTTGCTGCTTCCTCCTGTGTCTTTTATATTTATTTTACCTTCTGGTTTTATTTCCTTCTTTCCTCTACCTCTCCCAAAACCCCAAAAGATGATTTTTTTTTTTAGTCATTATCTTTTGTGTATGAGTTGGGGGAACAAGTATAAACCCCATACACTTCAATACCCTGCAGCTTTGAGTTGATGAACAGAACGTCAGAGTGTCATATAATGAACTTCTTGCTGTTGAAAAACACAAATGTTGTTTCTCAGCAGAAACTCACTCTGTGAGCAGGAGAAGGAGTTCAGGTATCCCTCGGTCTTATTCATAAGTGAGGGTAAAATGGAGCGTTAGATGGACAGGTGGTTTTGTTTGGTGTGGTGTCAGCAATGACGCGGCTGTTGGCATTAAACCATCGTGGTACAGGGGGAGCCAGGCCAGAAGGCAAAGCTCTCGATTTACCAGTCCATCTACGCTCTGACCCTCACCTACGGTCATGATCTTTGGGTAGTGACTGAAAAAGAGATCAAGGATACAAGCGGCTGAAATGGGTTTCCTCTGCAGGGTGGCTGGGCTCAGCCATAAAACTGAATTGAATGTCTGCGGTTTCTGTGCTAGTACAATTGAGGGTTCGTATCAGCCTCCAGCAGGAAACAGGAGGACTGGGAGTTGACTTTACTGTCCCTCTACTGCCAGCGTCAAGTGAAAGTGAAAGGAAGTCTGGAGTGACTGTATGTCAAATATCCAACTTAAAATTTACTTCACTATAGTGAGGTGGCAGCAGTGTTCGGAACAAGAGATTAGAGCATGCACAGTTGGTACGCTTGCTTTGCGCACAGTTAACACCATCACAAAAAATGGGTTCCATGTGAATGTTTGCATAGGGGTCTGTGCGGTCCCTTGGTGGATGATGTCATTTACGTTACATGGACCCTTGCAGACCCTCGCAGACACACGGACAGGTAATGTATCACTCGGCCTTTAGACAGATAGGGTGAGGAACTCAGACATTTGCAGGGAGCTCAGAGTAGAGCCGCTGCTCCTTTAAGTGGAAAGGGGCCAGTTGAAGTGGTTCATGCATCTGATCAGGATGCCTCTGGGGTGTCTCCCGTTAGAGGTTTTCCGGACACATCCAACTGGTAGGAGGCACTGGGATACACCCAGAACACACTGGAGGGATTATTTATCTCATCTGGTCAGGGAACGCCTCGGGATCCTCCAGGAGGAGGAAGACCATGTTGCTGGGGAGAGGGACTTCTGGAGTACCTTCCTGCTCATGTGACCCAGCCCTGAATAAGTGGAGGAAAATGGATGGATGGAGATTCACTCTGCAAAGAAAAAAAACTGTGAAAGTGCTCTTCAGAAAACACAATTATCATCACCATTGTCATGTCATACGCAGGTGTAATTTATCTAGCATCTTAAGTTTTAAATGATATAAAATCAGATGACGTCTCATTCAGGTGCAGCAAAACTGGACAGTCGGCTGTGTGTATGTGAGAGCAACAAAACTTTGGAAAAACGATAGAAATGAGCAATGTCTTTTCCTACAGCATTTTTAAAGGAGCTGTGTAGTTAGAGCATATCTGTTTTGGAACTGACTCAGGTTGCAAGGTTGGCATTAGCTGACCTACAAGCACGGGAGGGAGTGTGCTGGTGGAGGAGCTCAGACAGATACAGGGAGCCAGGTTGTGGAAGGCTTTATAGGTGATGATTAGGAGTTTGAAGTGGATACAGAGATAGGGAGACAGTGGAGGTTACGGAGGATGGCAGTAAATTGGTCACAGATCCATGTATGTGTATGTCATTTTATGCTCTGTAAGGTGACCTTGGGTGTTTTGAAAGGTGCCTTTTAAATAAAATGTATTATGTATTATTATTACGAGTGTGTGAGAAGGTGAGCAGCTGAATTCTGGTTATATTGTAGTTTCTTAAGTTGTGTATGATGAACCATAGAGGAGACTATTGCAGTTTATCTGTTTTGTCAGCTTTTAGTCACCTTAGATCATCAGGTCCAGACCTTAACCTTTGCACACTTACATTGATTTTCTAAAATAACAATGTTGATAGGTGTGTGTTGTCCTCTGTAAATGAACAACAAACAAAGTGTGCACACTTTTAGATTACCTTGCCCAATTAGATAAGAAACTTGTGTGTACAAGATAGGAAAAAAATCATCTTTTGGACATTTTGGGGCTTCAGAGGCTTTTTCTATTTTGTACAGTCCTCTTTGTCTTTCCCTCTGCTCCTCTTCATCTTCCTTTCTTCTCTTTCTTCCTTCTCTCTTACTGGTTTCACTCTTTGCTCCAGTTTGTGTCAGAAAGTTCAGTCAAGACGATGCACACTAACTTGATTTTCTTTGTGTCGTCTCTCGGACAGAGCGGCTGGAGCCCCTGGATGCCGGTCATCGCAGTGATGGTCGCCGTGACGGCAGCCGTCCTCTACCCGAACCTCTCCAAGAGCAGCTCCACCTAGGACACACACACACACACACACACACACAGACACACATGCGCACACAGAGCGCTGTGAGGAGAGCATCACTGCTTTACTTGTATAAAGTCTAATTGTACATAATTGTAGAGGGAATATAAAGGTTGTGGTTTCTACAGAGGATTCAGAAGCTTCTCGGTTTATTTTGTTTTTGTGTTGTTTTATTTTCTGCGGCGGGAAGTTTTGTTGTCGTTTTTATTCTCGGCTCTCTCTCAGCTGTGGTGGGGGCTCTTTTGGTTTTTGTCTCTCTGCTGATTTCTGGGTTAACGAAGCGTTCTCCAGCAGGCCGAGCTTCCACACAAAACACCTGCCAGAGGTGACGTTCACACCCGTCCCATCGTACCAACGGGATCAAGGCGAAAGCAACACTTTCCAGCAGTCTGGGAAACATGATCTATAATCTGCAGGTCTGCATTTATTTGCTGAAGGATCTGCACACCTTGTGATAGATTTCATTGGCTATTGGAGTCTGTGAGCAGGTGTGTTCACCTGTAGCTCCGCCAGAACTGGTTTTTCAGCTGGTTGGACTGGCTGCAGCGCTCCTTCAACCCTGAGGGTAGCTCTCATGCTGGACTGACACATTTTGATTTTCAGTGTCTTTACTTAGCAAAGTCTTTTCTTTAAATTGTCTCCATATTTAGCTTTAACTTTAAATTCTCAAAACCAGCTCAGTGCCTCACCTGCCTCCTATAAATGTCTCTGTGACATCATCAGTGTGAGTCATGTGTGTCGCTTTTTTAGAGCTATTCATGTGTGTATGATTACTTTTTGATTTTAGCTGCAGATATTTGGTGCCATTGTGCTCTTTATCTTTGAATTTGGCCATCTTTTGTTCCTGAAACATACAGTATTCTCTTTTTGTCTTGTCAGAGCAGATGATTGATCAAAATAACAAATTACCAACTCGACAAAACAGATTATAATTCAATTAAATGCAAATTTGTTTGGTAAAATGTGCCACTAAAGCTTGGTAAAAGCTCTAATGTTTTTTACATATCACCTTCAGAATAGGCTCTGTTTCATGATGTGTTCACACCGAATGCAGAGCGAATGTTTGCATCACGTCACTCACATGACGTTTTTTTTTTTGGAGTATTTAGCAACTGGGGAATTCGTCCTCAACAGTTGTGCTAACTAACAGAGGAATGCAGCTAACGGCCAACTCCGAATCTGTGTGAACCAAGACGGCAACACTTTTTAAAATTTGGCATACTGTCACGTTACGTTACCGCCTCACTCTTTCCATTGTTGCCTTTAAATTAAAGATCAACTTAAATTACTTAAATCGTTTTGCTAGGGAGCACCCAGAGATGTATAATAATAACAAGATACCAGACACCAAGATGGCACCTATTCAGGAACTGCTTGTCTTGTGCATATGTCAAAAAAGCCTCAAGATTCTGCGTTTACTTCCTCGGTATGCAGCCCACTGTCCCTCGTGGACATGGGTGGATGATGCCATTTTCAACACGCAGCCCCTCACAGACACGAGGACACGTAAACTATGAATTGGCCCTTAGAGAGATCGGGTGACGAGCTCAGACATCTGCAGGAAGCTCATAGTAGAGCTGCTGCTTCTTCATTTGAAACGAGGCCAGTTGAAGCGGTTTGTGTGCCTCCCATTAGAGGTTGTCTGGGCACGTCCAACTGGTAGAAGGCACCAGGACACACCCAGAACACTAAATATGCACAGTAATGTTTCTCCCGCTGGCCCCGCCCATGGGTTCCCGCTCAGCTCACAGACTTGACACTGTGATGATGTCGCAGATTTTTAAATGTACAAATGTAAAACCTCCATGGATCAAGAATTTATAAGAGAGGCATAACTGTCCTTGTTGGAGGTGTCCCGTCAACAGTTTTACAGAGGTCTCTTTTGTTACAATGGCCTGTGGGAAAGATGCTTCTTGGACCGTAGGGGATTTGTTTCGCTGCAATACCCCAAGTGGCCACTTGGAAATCACCTCAACAAAATAGCGTACACTTTGAAGGCAGTGTCCTGTGAATTTTTCACTCAAGCCGAAACATTTCAACTCATGCTAAAAGCACAAATCTCACATAATTTGCGTCTTTGCATTGACTTTGTAAAATGCTCGCTTCGCATTCAGTGTGGACACAAGTGGCTGTCTTTAGTAACTTGAATATTTCATAGATTTCTGAAACAAACGTGTGATAATAAGTCATTATCACTCAGCAGGAGTCCCCTTATCGTGTAAATTACATGTTTATATGAAACTGTGAATCTGTATCACAAAATCATCTCCAGACATCAGTAAAACAACAAAGTAAATTCACGTCAATAGTAAATGTACATCTGCGTCGTTACATTTAGACAAAGTGTCGTCAGTTCACCTGAATCAGCATTTCAGTTTCTGTCGACCTGATGATGATCTGTGTCCACCTGCTGGAAAGTGTTCGCGTCCAGGTGTTCACAGGAAGTCCTGCTCTACTCTGTTCTGGTTTGAGTCGGACATGTTGGATGTCTAACATGCCGTTTTTCTCTGTTATTGTATTCCCTTTTTTTCCAGGGAAGTTTTGGGGGACGGGGTTGAAACTTGAAGCCAAATTATTAAAATAAAAATCAGATTTATTTTCTGTTTCTTTTTCGGGGCACAGTAAAGGGGGTCAAAGTGCCTCTGATGTAACTAACTAACACCACAGTTTGTGTACGTGTGCCGACAAACGAGCGCACAGCAGCACACACTTTCTCTAGTGAACACACACAAACACACACATCATTTATGTGACTGTCAGAGGTCTGTCGGTGTTGAGTGTGGAGAGAAGCTGAACGTTGGTGACCCACAGTGTCTGTGAAGCTTCTTTAGGGCGGTTAAAAGCTCTAACAGCAGCCAGTAAGCGGACCTTGAGTTTAGTTTGTCAAATTATTGTCGTGGCTTCACCCAGATTTCCATCAGCTGGGTGATTTTTTTTAGCCACGTTCATGGCTGTTAGGATGCTCAGGACAAACTTTTTTGAGATTGATTGTCGTCTCCAGTTCTCATCTTTCCAACAGCATTACTTCCTGTTGAGTATCGAGCTTGAACGCCTCACAGAGCTGCAGGAAGAAAATCAGCTTCTCTCTGACTTGAAACACTCGAGGCCTCTGCTGAGATGTTTTTAGCAGACATTAAATTATTTTGAGACGTGTGTGTTTGTGTGTGTGTGTTTGGGGGCTGGTGAGCAGGGGGGGAGTGTGTGTCGGTTCACACTCTGGACTCTTTGTCATCGTTCGTGTACTCTGTCTCGTCTCCGTGTTTAAAAAAAAAAAATCTAAATAAAAGTCAACGAACAAATATTCCTGATGTTTAAAGAGAAAAACACTACAGTACAGAGAGAGAATTGTAAAATAAAATGTTATTGAATGATGTGCTACTAGACTTATTTTGTTAAAACTGTTTAGAGATATGAGAGGGAGCTATGTAGAGGATATGATGATGGTGATGATGATGATGATGATGATGTAATGAATATGCAGAGCGATGTTTGGATTAAAGTTGTAGCAAGCTGACCCACCAAACCTGCTCCTGTCGCCTTCATTCAAACATTTCACAATGAGAAATGAACTCTGCAGATTGTCTTCTTCACCTCCTTCTAATATTCCTCCTTCCTCTCCTCCTCCTTCTCCCTCCTCTGCCTCTCCTACATCCCCTTCCCCATCATCATCTTCTCTTCTTCCTTTTCTTTCTTCCTCTACTCTTCCTCCCACCTCCCCCTTCCTTTCTACTCCTCATCCTTCCCCTTCCTCCCTCTCCTCTCTCTTCTGCTTTCTTTTCATTCTCCTCACCTTTTGTTTTTCCTCCTCCCTCTGCCTCTTCTCCTGTTTCTTCTACTCCTCCTTTTCTTTCCCCTCTGTCTACTTCTACTTCACCTCATTTTTCTTTACCTCCTCCTTTTTCTTCTCCCTCTCATCATCCTCCTTCTTTCTCCTCCCTCTGCCTCTCCTACTGCTCCTGCTTCTTCCTCTACTCCTCTTCCTCCTTTTCCTCTCCCATCTTCACCTTTTCATCCTCCTCCTCCTTTCACTCCTTTTCCTTCTCTTCCTCCTTTCCCTACTCCATCTTCTCCTCTTCCTTTTCCTCCTGCTTCTCCTTCTTTCCCTTCTTTTCCTTCTTCTCATCTTATTCCTCCTCCCTTTGCATCTCCTCCTACTTTTTCTTCTACTCCTCTTCCTCCTTTTACTTCCCCATTTTCTCCTCTTCATCTTCCTCCTTTCTTACTCCTCTTCTGCCTCTCCATCCACATCCTCTTTTTCTTCTCTACCTTGTTCTCCTGCCTCTCCCCTTCTCCTTTTCTTTCGTCTTCTCCCTCTGCCTCTCCTACTGCTCCTGCTTCTTCCTCTACTTCTCTTCCTCCTTTTCCTCTCCCATCTTCTCCACCTCTTCATCATCCTCCTCCTTTCTTTCTTATTCTCCCTCTGCCTCTCTTCTCCTTCACTCCTTTTCCTTCTCTTCCTCCTTTCCCTACTTCATCTTCTCTTCCTTTTCCTCCCGCTTCTCCTCCTTCTTTTCCTTCTCATCTTTTTCCTCCTCCCTTTGCCTCTCCTGCTTTTTCTTCTACTCCTCTTCCTCCTTTTCCTTCTCCATCTTGTCCTTTTCTTTCCCCTTTGTTTCCATCTTCTTCCCCTCATCCTCTTTTTCCTTCTCATCCTACTTCTCTTCCTCCTTTTCCTTCCTCTTCTGCCTCTCCATCTACATCCTCTTCTCCTTCTCTACCTTGTCTTGCCTCTCCTTCTCCTTTTCTTTTGTCTTCTCCCTCTGCCTCTCATCCTCTTCCTCCTGCTTCTTCTTCTCCTCCTTTATTCTTCCAATAATAAGTGTTGTTCTTTGTCAGCAGGTTAAGAAATTGACTTTTTAGACAGTTCAGAGTTTTTCCTTTTTTTTTTTGAATAAGAACAAAATAATCTGTTATTTCTGAATGTATGTTTAGATTATTACAGTCTGTTGTGAGCAGTGAGGAAGTGATACAGACGGCTGAGGGTGACACATCAGCAAACATTACACTGTGATTCATAGAAACCAGATTAGGAAACAACCGAAGATTCTGATGTCTCAAAATCATCTGTCACTCATTCTTTCAGCAGAAATATGAGCATATTAGTAATTCATCATGCTGTGTGTGTGTGTGTGTGTGTGTGTGTGTGTGTGTGTGTGTGTGTGTGTGTGTGTGTGGACTTGCCCTTGAGGGTTGGGTTGCTCCTGTCTGAACAGTGGTTTAAACACAAGTCCAGTTTATCAAAGTCTGAAAATATTAATCTGATCAGATCAAAGTTTGGACCTATTGATTACTGACTGGAGATCAAAACAACAAACCAGACTGATAGAGAATGAGAGCTGCTGATTTTGTACCTGAATCAGTTTTTACAGAAGATATTAGAGCAACAAGATGCGTCACTCCTGTTCCTGTTTTTTCCAGGAACAGAAAAACCCCACACAAATACAATACAACTAAACACAATGCTTGTGGACAACAAAACAAAACAAAAACATAAAGTCCACTTCAGCCGACAAGGGTTCACCTTCATCTTACACTCCTCCTCGGTGAATGAGTCCACAGTGGAAGACCATGACATGTAGCTGAAAGCTCCGAACATAAGAACAAAGAATGTAAGTGTACTTTGACTTTAGTCTTTTTTAGGGGGGTGGTTCTCGTCTTTAGAGGTAGAAGTTGACCTTTGATCTTTTTTTGGGCGTCGAGATTTTTGAGGGTTGGAGGAAGGTGTTGTTTGTTTTCAGTCGTCATGGTAACGGTTACTCATTTTTACAAACTAGGAGGGGGTTCCTTCCTGTATCATGATGAAGCAAGACTAGTGCTTATCCAGCTCATCTTAGAGCATGACTCTGGTTTTCTGTTGTGTCATGAAGCCGGCTCACTTTTAACCAGATCACCATGGCAACCAGGGGGTGGATCACCATGGTAACTGTTGCTGTTGCAGGTGTAACTTCAGGCGATCAAAACCTGTCAACAGAGAGTGTCTCACCAATCAGATCACTGGAAGAAACAGACAGATTGATCATTTCTACGGGATCCTGACATGAACAAAAAATATTTTGTTTAAAATAAAAGGACCACAGTGTCAGAGAGAGAAGAAGATGGCTGTGTCCTTTTTAAGTTTAAAGTAAATTTAATAGTAAATTAGTTATTGAATATTTATCAGGGAGTAGTTTATTTTCTTTGGGCGTTTCTGAAGATTTCAGTTTTTCTTTTAAGACTTTTTAACTTTTTTAAAGTGTATCCGTTATTATTTATAACCATGAATCCAAATTGATTTAGTTTATTTTCTTATTCTAGACTTTGTTGAAAATGTCAGACGTTTTTAAAAAGGCCTCTAAAAGATGTGAAACCACCCAAACCATGTTACAGCACAGACTCCAAAGGTGAAACATGATTTAGTTTGTTTATAGACGATCTTTGAGAAAGTGAGTTCGGCTTCACAACAGACTGATGCTGCATTCACTGCTGCCGGAAATTTGGGCATTATGACATTTGTTTCAATAATCCCAGGTTATATCAAGAAAAGAGACTACAAAAACAAACAAACAAACAAACAAAAACAATATGACTTTGTTTTGTTTCGTTTCTCTGTTTTTAATTATTTGTAAAAACTGGTAATTACTTATGTATGTTTCACAGAAAAAGTGTGTGATCAAACTGATCGCCACTATTTAATTCAAAGTAAAATAACACCACAGATAAAATACCTGTAGTTATTGTAAGATATCATATTATAACATAAAAAGTGATAAAAACATACACACATTTTATTCAAAAATACATAATAAAATCACATTTTCTTTTAATTGAAACAAACAGTCTAACAAGGTCAACTTTTATTTGTTTACAGTGGAAACTTTTTTTTAAAATACATTATTAATCTAAATATAAAACCTCTCCTTATTACCGATATATTTTTATTTATTTTATTTTGTTCCTCTGTTTGATTTTTAACTGTGTCATGTTGGATTATATATGTCTACAAATGGTAGCTGTAACTATATTTGCTTTCTTCTTTTTTCCAGACTAATTTGGGGAATTTAAATTAAAAATAATTCCTGTTTCATGTTCTAGTAAATCAGTAGTCATTTATTCTTCTGTTTTTATTTCTTTAAAAAAAGATAAATATGAATTGCGGTACTGAATATAAATAAATAAATTCCTGTATTGTAAGTACAGAAATGTTATAAAATAAATGATCAGTGGAAATACATTATACTCTTGCTGTGAGGCAACATTGCAACCGTGCACCACCGTGAAAGAAGGCGGATATCTACAACACTCTGCAACTCACACCAAAACTATCTAGACTGATAAATAGCTCTGCAGGTAACAGGAAAAATATATGTTTTTGATTTTAGGGTGAACTGACCCTTTAAATACAGTACTTGAGTAAATGTACTTAATTACATACCACCACTTTATGAGAGCGACTGGACTAATTACAGGACTTTAAAAACATAAATGTACACTGGGGCAGATTGAATCCAGAAGGAGGCAGTGATGCAACGTTAGGAAGCCCTTTACACCTCAACCAAGAAGTAATCCGAGCTTTTACAGCGGCACCTGAACGCAGCAGCAGCCAGTCAGTCTCAGTGAGGTTCTAAAAAAACTCCAAAGCAACTTCAGGCTGCTCCGAGGAAACACCACCGCGGGAACACCAAGCACCCTCTGTCACATTCAACCAAAGTCCCAACAAGAAGCGTTAAACTAAGACATTAAAGATGCCGGCTACAGAGAAGGACCTGGCCGACGACGCTCCCTGGAAGAAGATCCAGCAAAACACCTTCACCCGCTGGTGTAACGAGCACCTGAAGTGCGTCAACAAGCGGATCGCAGACCTGCAGCTGGACCTGGGCGACGGCCTGAGGCTCATCGCCCTGCTGGAGGTGCTGAGCCAGAAGAAGATGCACAGAAAGTACCATTCGAGGCCCAACTTCAGTCAGATGAAGCTGGAGAACGTGTCGGTGGCTCTGGAGTTCCTGGAAAACGAGAGCATAAAGCTGGTCTCCATCGGTGAGTAACGGCTCCATTCATTCGTCTGGAAGCTTCTCTGAGCCCCCAAAACCACCATCTGCCCCCCAGACTACTTTAAGTGTTTGTGAGAAGTCTACAAACACTTCAGGAGTCCTGGCAGTACTTTTATAACTTGTCCCAGTAAAGTTTCCCCCAGTTTTCCCAGTTTATAGCCCCAACACCGTTTTATATCCATCACAGTGCGGACTCCATTAGAAAATATGGCGTTTTAAAGTCTAATTGCTTTTTAATACTAATAGCCATAAAACACATTATTAAAAATGATGTCTCTTGAATCAGTTTCACCCACTCTTTAATTCGGCATACATATAATACACGAAGCGAAACCTATTTTTAAAAAATCTAAGGTTTTGTACGTGGTTCACGCTGTTGCTGTCGCCCACCTGGCTGCATTGAGCACGGTGGCACACGCTGGGAATCAAAAGGAAACTTAACGTCTTTTAAAGTTGATATATAATTGAATTAAACGCTGTTGAGTGTGTTATGTGATGTCAAAGTAAAGACTGATTTGTGACGCTTTTGAAATCCTTCACTTGTGTTTTAAAATGTTGGCTTTGCACTTTTGCCGGAGACCAAAGGTCAATCCGCAACTTTCTCGTTTGTGTGGAAGTTTCCTGGGGTTTCCCAGATTTATTCTCATAATATTAACCAAAGTCAGTCTAATTAAAGGTCCTATTGTGTTATATGAAATAATATTACTTAATTACACGTAAAAATGATATTTACTCCCATTTTAGTCAGTTTGAGTCCTTTGAGTTCCCTCTCACGTAGCACTCGCCAAATTGCGTTTAAAATTCTTGCATTTTAAGGTTACTTTGCCTATTTTTGGCATTCAGGTGTTGTCAATTGTATTGTTTGAATATCAATAGAATTGAAATGAACTCATCTTAAAATCGGCATACACATAATACAAAATTAAAGTTTTTTTTTTTTAACGAAAATCACAAGTTTTCCCAGTAAACCATGCTCCTGCTGCCTCCCAGCTTATTGGGACCGTGGGAACTGGAACCATATCATCTCTAATATTTCCTGTTTCATTAATAAAGTATGAGCTACAGATTGGATCCCACAGTAATTACTAATTAAATGTATCATGCAGTCAACAGCAGCTAAACTGACAGATATCCGAATGGAGTTTGGCACGTTGTGGGTGTAGCGTCTCCACATGACAACAGCAGAGTGTGTTTTAACGAGCAGGCTCCTGCAGAGAGAGGACACACCTGTGTTAATGAGCCTGGCCTCATGTGGAGAGGAGAAGTCTCCCCAATGAGAATATTTCACCCCAAAGTTCACAAATCCAAAACAAACTGCTGTTAATGAGAGTGAAGGTGATCGGCCTCCACCTGCTGCTCTGTTACTTCATATTGTCTTTAACAAGCTGCATGTTGTTGTGTCCCAACACACATGTGACTTTAATTAGTCGTTTGGCTTCCACCCAGGCTGCATGATACTGACAGTAATTACACTGCAATTTTCTGCTGCATATTTATAACAACATCCAGACAATCATTTGTTTTTAGCAAACAAGAAGCTCTTTTAATTAACAACTGAGTTTGAGTTTGATTTATATTGATCGGGCAAACAGTCCCAGGACAAGACAGAAAAGTGATTCATGCTTAGTTTTGTCCTACAGATCTTTTTTAAAAACTTGTTCCTCTTTCCATAATGATGTTGGTTTCTCTCCTGTCGTGATGTTATGTCGTCTTTGCTGGTGGTGAATTTTACAGACGTTGACGTCCTGTCACACAGATGTGAGATTTTTAAAAGTGCAGTCTTGTCTAAAAATATCTTACACAAAAACTCTGACGTTTCTGGTCGGATGTAGTTCTTTGTGCTGGAGGTCAAGTCACTTTGGTGCCCTTTTTATTTTATTATTTGTAAAACGTTTTGGGTATATTTTTCATTCAGTTGTTTTGGGCCTGTTTTGATGCTCAGAAGACAAATGAAAGATTGAAAGCAAAGTGGTGTGACAGCAGTTTAATGAAGGTGATTAAAACTCTGTGGTGTTTGTCAAGCAGTTTCTTGGATTTAACTGGAAGTCCATCGATCTCTTTCGCTGCTCGTCACGCAGAATGCTTGTAAGGACTTTTTTTAATTGGCCTTTACACACACGCACACAGTGTGATTACAGCCATCTTGCAGTTTTGTTGCGTCTCACACTGTGTGAGATAATCTGACAAAACCTTGGTCACAGTCTGGGTCAGACTGCACAATTATGAGCTTTGAGTCATGTCAGGTTGTGTGATGAATGTAAATAAATACTGTCACAAATATACACACAGACAAACGTGTAGTCTACAGTGTGTTTCTACGGGGACTTTAAACGCCTCATCAGTCTTTTCTGCATCATCTCATGCTGTGTTCAGGTGACTGGGTTTGTGGATGTGATGTTGAAGCTGCGGTCACTTTGTGAGATTTCAGTCCTAATACTCCGACACTATCAGGATGTTCACATCAGATATGTTTGGTCTCCAAAAGCTCTGAATCGTCCGTCAGTGGACAAGTCTCAAAGTGAGAATTATAAGACGTAAGAATAGAGTATGAAATAGACGTATGTAAATATAAAATAATGAATTAAATATAATGGAAATAAGGACATGCATTATGCTGTTTAACAACAAAGCAAAGTTTTCTTGTTGTGAGTATTGAATGTTTTCTCAGCTTGATCAGATATTTCTGATGACAATCCAGTTGCCAGAAAAAATGTTGGCACTGTATGTTTGCGCAAACCACGAACATGTAACATTTTCATGTTGTTATGTAGCAGATGCGTTGAAACATGTTGGGACCTGTGTTTCAGCAAAGCAGTGATTAATGCGTGGTTTAAGTTTAGGCACAAAGACCTTTCGGTTATGGTCAGGAAAAGGCTTTCAACAGGCTTTTTTGCACTTAAAACACCCAGTTTTGGGGCACAATCCCTGCTGGAAATGCAGCGATGTTTCTGTAAAAATCAATCTCTTTTTGTGTCACTGTCCCCGCCAGAAAAACAGCAACAAGTCGCTACAGAACACCCATGTTTGGTGTCTAAATAAATCACAGTTTTGTTGTTTGTTGGTCTTGAACAGTGGTCGGTTTGGCAGACGTCTCACCGAGGTGACATCCATCCATCTCTTCCACCTTCTGATAACAAAGTCTGCTCGTATCCTATGTCACGTTAGAAACGTTGGTATGAAATGAACATTTGTAAGATATTCCTGGTTTGCAAAAAACGGACAATGTCAACATTTTTTCTGGAGACTGGGCTGCTGATGAAATTATAATTTTGTTAATCTGATACTGTAGTTACTCAAAGTTTTTGACTGGCTGTTTTGGACATTATTAAACACTTTCTACCACATGGTTTTGGAAAAAGATTTTTGTCGGCATATAACGTAATTAAAAAAGTATTCAGTATTGTGTGGAGCACGTTTTGCACTTTTAAACAGGTCAGCTTGATTTAAATTGTGATTTAAACAGCACAGTCGATGTAAAGTGTTTTCGGACATTCTGATAAGACTTTTAACCTCAGCTGTTTTCCTGAGAGTTAAGAGAAAACACAGAGCTGCGTTCATTTGTTCAGAGATGGGGTAGAAAAATATGTAGCTTGAATCTGCCTCTTGTAAACTTCAGCATTATTTCTGCGGTGTTCATACTCATACAAATTTTCAAGGACGCTGAGCTGCATCCATCCTTTCTACCCATAATCCCTTTTGTTTTGTTGTCTTGTTGGAGGACTGAGGTGTTATCAGGTGTCTCTTTGCTGCTGATGGATGCTGTTGAACTACATGAGGAGCAGAGTTAATTTGGGTCCTTTCATGGGATCTGTATGCACCTCAACACTTTGTCATATTCAGAATAATTACATTCAAAGTCAGACTAAAACAAAAACTGACACAGTGTGTCCTCTACGAGTCTAAACGAGTCTGTTTTCACAGCTGAACTGAGCTCATAGTTCTCAGTCCGCACCAGAGTTCACTTTAAATCCACTGCACTGTTTTTAGGTGCACCAAGACTGCTTTTCTGGATTCTATTGAAGTTTTCATACTTCATCAGATGTACTAAATTATCTGGAAAAAATTCTGGTTCAGGTAAAAAAAGAAAATCGAGCTGCTCTAGTGTGAAACCGTCCTGAGACACTGAGGCCGGCTGGTGTTGTGTGATGGGAGTGAGCCGAGGTCGAGCTGAGTGTGTTCAGTGATGTAAAACTGTGGAGGTTTGATTTTCCACCATAGAAAGGAAATGACAGGGTGGGTGGGACTCACACACACACACACACACACACACACAGACTGAGGCAGCACTGGTCGTGTTTCAGCTTTCAGAGATGAACCAGCCTCTCAGACAGATCAGAAAACACAGATTTAGTGTTTTAGTTTGGAAAACTTTTAAGACATTTTTATGTATATTGTAGTTAATATTCATGAGAGCTAAAACAAGCATGTTGTCAATTAATTGTCAGTAGTCAGTAAATCAGATTTCTGACCTCCTCAAACACACACAGCGTCACCCTGACATATTTTGTGTCACAAGTCGATATTTTAAGGAGCAGTGTGCAGGATTTAGTGGCATCTAGAAGTGAGGATTGCAGACTGCAACCAGCTGAAACTACTCCTATGTGCTAAGTGTGAACTCCAGGTTTGGATTCCCTCAGTGTTCATTGTTCAGGAGGTTTTTACTGTCAGCTGAATTACCTGCAGAAGGCTCTTCCTCTCCAAAACAAACAGACCTGGTGATTCAAACTGGTAAAAACACTCAGTACGTTTACATGTGCAGTTGAGTCGAGCTGAACTAGGCCATTTAATTGGTTTATTGTCCTTGTCCCAGTATACAAGCTTGGGAGGGGCATCGATTTGTTGACTGAAGTATGTCCAACTCCGCTACGATAGGTGGCAGTATGCCCCCTTTCAGCTTGTTAGTATTGGACCTTTTTCCGGTTGACCTATTACGTCACAGACCAAACAATCGACAAATAAGTTAGCTACAGTTAGCTAGTGACAAAC